AAAAAAAAAAAACAAAAATTTATATATACACGTAAAAAATTTTCTTTTGATTTTTATTAATAATAATAATAAAAATAAAATTTTATTTATAAATATAATTAAATTAAATACGATTAAAAAATAAAATTTATTAATTTTTATTTATTTAATATAAATAATATTAAATTAAATAAGTTAATTTATATAAAGATATTTATTATTATTATGAAATATTTAATAAATACATTTCTTTTTAAAATAAAATTTTATTTAATTATTTTGTCGTTGTATTTTAAAGATTTAATTTTTTTTTTTTAAATTTAAATTTGACTGGAATTTATCAAAGAGTAAACTGCTGGAGAAAAAGAAAAAAAAGAAAAAAAATTATACTGGAGATACCGGGGATCGAACCCGGGGCCTTTCACATGCAAAGCGAACGCTCTACCACTGAGCTATATCCCCCCACGTATGAAAATGTGGTTTAAATTGGAAAATCACAAATTTTTCTAATTCAATTGAATTTATGACAATGAGAAAACATTTTTTTTTTTATGTTTTTGTTATTAATTAAAAAACATGATTATGTTCTCAATCAACTCCTCCTACAACATCATTCTTCATTTCATTATAAACAAAAACATTTTTTTTTTATTAAAATTATAAAATTAAATAGAAAAAAAAAAAGTTATGTATGTTATGATAGTAATTTTTAATTTTTAGTAAAATATTTAAAGGGAAATACTAAACAATTCCCTTTAATGCGGTTATTATTATTATACGGAAAATATAAATAAAAGTTTTTTAATTAATAATTAAATGAAAATTGTTTCTCTCGGACTCATTTTAGTAAAAAAAAAAAATCATAATAATACCACGTGTGTGTGTGTGTGTTGTTTTTTAAATTAATTATTCAAAAAAAAAAAATTTTGATTTATATTATTATTATTATTATTATATTTAAGTAAAAAAAAAAAAAATGTCGGTAAAAGGCAACAGCATTGCGGTGAAAAAAAAAAAAAAAGAAAATCTGGTGACGAGGGAGAAAAAAAAGAAAAACAGGAGAATAATTAATGGATTTTTTTTTTTTTTTTTTTAAATTAATTTCAAATAATTTTAATTTTTAATTTATTATATACACACACACGATTAAAGTATTATTATTATTATTATTAATAAATTATTTTATTCAATTTTCAAAAAAATTAAATTGAATTTTGAAAAAAAAAAGGGAAAAGACATTAAAGTAAACGTAATACATTTTCTCGTTAAATATCTAATTTAAGAAAAAAAAAAAAGGGCCTAAAGGTTTTTTTTTTTTTTTTGAAATAAAAAGAAATGTAACAATGAAATACGACTGGACATTTTAAGAGGGGGGGAAAAAAAAAAAAAATAATAAAAAATTTGAAATTGGAATGCCCAAGGGCGGAATCTTAAAGAATGTGCGAGAAAAAAGCTTTTTCACATATATATTCGTTTCAAAAAAAAAAAAAAAAGAAAAAGAGATAGTGATACCATGTTTTTAAAAAGTTTTCCTATTTTTATTTTAAATTTATATAAAAGAAAAATTTTTTTTATATTATTGATATTAATAATTAAATATTATTTGGTTTTTTTTTTATTTTAATTTTAATTATTTTATGCATCAGCTAAAAAAATTTTCTCTAAAACAAAGTAATTTTTTTTTTTTTTTTTTTACTTAAACTAAAAAATAATTCCTTCTTATTACTTTTATGCATTTTTTAATATATTGCAGATAAAACTTAACAAAGTTTTTTTTTTTTTTCAACTTTTTGGGGGGAGGTTTTTTTTTATTCATGTTTGTAAAAAAAAAAAAAATTAAAAAAAAAAAATTCACACTCAGTGTGTTACTTCTTAATCACAAAGGGGATTGTAAACCTCCTTGTGATATTAAATTAATTTATAATTTTTTTTATGTTAAAAACGTTACTCGGACAAAAACAAATTATTATTATTGTGTATTTTTTTTAATATATGTATTCTACAAAGATTATTTTCTAACAAGTGAGAAATTATATTTTACAATAAAAAAAAATGTAAAAGGTATTAATAATGATTCATATTCACTTTTAAAAAAAGATTCATATTTATTTTTTTATTATGTCTTACATAGGTTTACATTTTGAAAGTTTAAATACTTTGATATGTACGTTAAAAGTTAATGTAAATAACAATAAAGCAAAGTTTACCATTAAAAAACAAAAATTTTTTTTGTTTTTTTGAATTGGAGCTTATATTACAAGTTTATTTAGAGTGGAAAAACGTCGTGGAAGAAGATGAATGAGAATTTCAAATGAACTTTGTAGTTAAGATTGGCAACATCATTTCTACATATACGTTTCTAATGTAATTTTTCATGTTTGTTTATTTATACCTAATTATGTCAGAAAATAATTTTTTTGTAAATTAATCATTCGCTCGTTCGTGTTTGACGAAATTTTTTTTTCAACCTTTTTTTTTCGTCAATGTCATAACAAATGGGAACATAACTGCATGTTTGAATTGCATTCAAGGATTTAATGCGATAAATTTCACAAAGTTATTAAGGTAAATAAACAAAGCATTGTTGAATTAAGTTATCTCGAAAAAGCATAATTTAATATTAAACTTTTGCATTTACGTGTCAGATGTCAAATCGGGAAGAAAATGATTATGATCGTCAGTTTCAAGCCGATTTACAAAAAGCTATTGCTTTGAGTTTGGAAACATCAGAATATGAAAAGCTCAGAAACGAGCATTTAAAAAAATATTCCGAATTGTCAGATTCTAATTTAAACTCTAGGAAAAATTCAGTTACTAATTTCTCTAGACCTCGACCGGAATCAACCGTGAAATTGAATTCTACTCTTTTGCCACCTCCGTCAACCTCTAAAAAAAATAATACTTCAACCAATGATTTAATAAGTTTTCATAGTCCCAAGGATGAAACTAAAGAAAATGTAAATTTTAACTTATGTATATTTGAATTTTTAAAAGATTAAGTTTAAAAAAATAATTAATTAGTGGATTTTTTTATTTTTGTATCAAGTCAAATTTATTTTTTCAATTTTAGAACTCATTGCTTTTTGAAAACAACATAGGTTCTTGCAGCGCCAGCAATAGCACCAATGTTGTTTCTTTTCAGCCAATAAATTTTTCATCATTTGATTTTTCCGTCAATTCTAATAATCAATTGCTTAAAAATTGTTCTACCAATGTTTGTAAATCAGATGATTCTAAAATAGTTCAAAATTTTCATGTGAAAAATTCACAAGGAAACAGTCAGTATTATCAGTCTGAAAATTTAAGTGGAGCTGTAGTGCCACTGACCAAAAATTTTTTGAACACCAATCCAAAGGAAACAGATATTAAAGCCATTGAAAGTTACAGTACTTTAGACGTTTTAAAAATTGTGGGAAAGCAACAAAACAACAATTTAATAGATTTAGTGCCTTCAACTTTGAGTGAAATTAATAAAAAACCTCAAATCTGTGAAAAATCATCTGTTTTAGAAGAATTTGATCCTCTAGTAGAATATGATTCGATTAAAAAAAATGACTTATCGCATATAGCAAAATCATCAGAATCAAAAGATAATTGCTCAGAGACTGTAATTTATAATGATAATTACAGTAGGCATGAAACCGATGGTGTTAGCAAAGAACTTGATGATGTTGATGAGGAAGATTTTAATGATGCACAATCAGCATGCTCAGAAAATTTTTACGATCCCTTTGATCCTTTCGAATACATGAACTCTTCATCTTATGATGGTTCACTCGGGGAGCCTATTTACACAACAGTAAATCAATCTATTAAAGTCTCTTCGAAATTGTCAGAAAATTGTTTAACTAGAAAAAGCATGTTAGAAAGTGAGGTATGTTTTTTTTATTTTTACATTCAAATCAAATTACTAAATAATGACTAATTATCATCATATTTATCATATTTTAATTTTAACATTTGTTTTTTTTAAGAAACCAAGAAAATATAAACTCTATGAAGAAATAAAAAAGAAAAAAGCAATTTTAGTCAATTCTGACATTCAAGCATTTTACGATATGGTTAAAAATTTAAGAGCTCAGTTTGAATACAAAGACTTATGCACTAATGTTGGTTTAGTTATTAGTCCTACAATTGAAAACAACTTTACTATTACAACTAGTATTAAGTTAGTAGTACATTCAACAAATTATCAACAGCCGGTATCTTTTACTTGTGATTGTGAGTATGGCATTATTTTAATTTTCTTTTTTATTTTAAAGCAATTTATTACATTTTTAAAAATGATTTTCAGTGAATTCAAGTGTTGAGCATGTCATCGTACAGGCTATTTGTTCTTTTGAAGGAGACATTGTTGGTTCAGTAACAGATTATGTTTTAAAAGTTTACGGATTGTCTGAATATTTCACATCTGAAACATGTTTAGGAGAATATGAATACGTTCATCAATGCATTAAATTAGAGAAAGATGTAATCCTTTCGATAATACATATATCAGAACTCAAAAGGCCACTTGCCAGAACTGCTAGGGATGACATGAATCTTAAAAATTTAACAATTGAAGACCTTCTTCCAAATGAACCGGTGCAACCTATAACATACACAACATTGAAAATTCTTTTAGGTAACATAACTTTCTTTTTAATAAGTTTCCATAAATTGTTAACAAAAGATAAATGATTTTTTTTTTCCCTCCCCTTCCAGAAACGATCGAAAACGAAATGGAAGGAGCATTAAAAGTTATATCAAAGTTAAATTCCAGTCAAAACTCTAGTAATTTCTCTTTACAACCCATTCGTGTTCAACAAGCCGTTAAAGCAGTTTGCGCTCTCATGGGACATGTTGAAACCATTGAAATAACGGAAGCCTTAGCCTTGTTTTGTCAAATTTGCTCAATGGTTACCTGTAAAACTCTATCGGAGGATTCGAAGGCAAAAGTAACATTTGACGATGGAGATTATTCGATTGTAGAAATGGGAAGTTCCGCACTGAAATGCATACAAGAAAATTTAATAGTTCAATGCGATAAAATAAGGGAAGCAATCAGAGGGTTAATAGAATCATATTGTAATGCATTTAATGTCGATTTTACCCTTAGTAAAACGAATCCATCATCATTAGGTAAATTTTTTTTTTTATTACAAATAATTTATTTCTCGTTTTAAAAAAAAAAAAAAAAAAAAACTACGAAAAATTTTCTATACAATTTTTTAAACCTTTAGTTAAACTTAAGATGCGTTGGGAGTTATGTTTTTATGTACCCAGAATTAATGGGAAGATGAAATATTCCTGTTTTTAAAGCAGCGCCCTTTATTCGAACCTCTTATTATGTTATTTATTTTGGTAGGAACCAAATTCCCATTTTTAATATATTAAAATTTAAATTATTTTTATAAATTTAAATAACGATATTTACAAACGGTGTTTCAGGCACGAAATCAATTTTGGAATTTCAAGATACCATATTGGTAAACATAGGATCTCTCCATCGTCTTCAACCTACCTGGACGCATACGGCTTATGTTGTTTCTGCACAGATTTATTACGGAGCGAGAGCAATTAAAGAAACGAGTATTTGTTTGACGGATGTAGCAAAAACGAGTACGAGCTTTTACAATAGAGTTGTTTTTGATTCGTGGTCTGTATTCTTATGCTTCACATTTATGATTACTTTAAAAAGAAAATTCAATTCCTTAATTATTATACAAATTTAAAAAAAATTTTTTTTTTTTTAATCAGGTTGAATTTGAAAGGTGTCACAATAGCTTGCTTACCAAGAGAATCACGATTGGTTTTAACTTTATACGGGTTGACCCTACTACCACCTGATCACGAACAGAGCAAAGCTAATCCTGGTCAGCCACAATATGAGCAAATCGAATTGGGATGGTCCGCCATTCAGTTTTTTAATTACGAAGGGTACAACACATCCTTTTTTTTTCTAATTTCATATACCGAAAAATGAAATAATAATAATAATTTTCCTTTTTTTTGTTTGTAGGAAGTTAACTCAAGGTAGTTTTCTTTTATCTTTGTGGCCGCCAATAGCTAATAAGAGGTTTAGCCCAGCCCCTGTTCCTGGTACTCATCCGTTACAAAATCATTCCGTTCTTTATATAAATTTACCATATTACGGAGGAACGGTAGAGTTTCCAGCATTACCAAAAAATGACACGAAAGCACCCATGTACGATTTTGAGAGTTTGGATATTAATACTCAACAATTGCTTCTTAATATATCGGAACAAGACTCATTTGCTAAGTAAATATCGTATAATAAGATGAAGTTTGTGGATATTTTTATTTTATCATTTAAAAATAAAAAAATAAAAAAATTTTATTAGAACAAAAAAAACAGATAGAGAAATATTGTGGGAAAAACGTCATTATCTTCACGGTATTTCTCAAGCTTTACCAAAGGTTTTATTAGCCACACAAAATTGGGATTTCACTTCACTATCCGACCTTCATGCAATGGTTCGTTGCTGGAGTCCAATGGAACCCCTGTCTGCACTTCAATTATTGTTACCCTGGTAATATTAACAATTTTGAAATTTATTATAATAACATTTTTAAGATTAATGTTTACAAATTGTAAATTATTATTCGTTACAGCTTTCCAGATTCCGTTGTTCGTTTCGTAGCCATTTCCTGGATAAAAGAATTGGGAAGTGATGAATTAGTAGATTATTTGCCTCAATTGGTTCAAGCTTTAAAACACGAAACGTATGATGCGAGTCCTCTAGCAAAGTTTTTACTCGAAAGAGCTTTAACATCTCCTAGAGTTGCACATTACTTATATTGGTTACTTGTTCAGACATTGCCTGGATCATCTCCTCAGGTATTTTTTTTAATACTAATTAAATACTTTATTTTTTTACACAACGATTTAAATGTTTTAGAATACTTCTGAAGTAACAGCGACTGATGAAAGTTCCGTTGGTATATATCGTTACCATAGAAGACTTCAAATAATGCTACGTTCTCTCCTTGCCGTTTCTGGAGAAACACTTGTTCAGCGATTAATGGCTCAACAAGTTTTAGTCAAAGTATTAAAATACTAATGTTATTTAATTTAATTTAATTTAATTTTATTTATTTATCATTTCGTTTGGTTGTAGAGTTTATACGAAATAGCGGAAAGTATAAAAAAAACAAAGGAATCGTTGAGATTGAAAACTTTGCAAGCCGGACTGGAAACTTTACATCATTCATTGCAAGAATCTCCAGCTCCTTTGCCTTTGAGTTTATCCGTATGCGTCGTCGGTATACAAGTTCGAACGTCATCATATTTTCCCTCAAATACTCTACCATTAAAAATTAACTTTATTAGCGACGAAGCCAAAATATTTCCAGCTATATTCAAAGTAGGTTTCAGCAAAAAAAAAAAAAAAAAACTATTTTTTACGTCGTACATGAATTTTTTTTTTTTTTTTTTTTTAATTTACCTTTTTTTATAATTCATCGTCTGGATTTCCGATCAGATCGGAGATTACTTGCAACAAGACATGTTAACAATGCAAGTGATAAGAATTATGAATAAAATGTGGTTGAAAGAAGGTTTGGATTTAAAAATGATTACATTTACATGCTTGCCTACCGGTCACAAAAGAGGAATGATTGAATTGGTCGAAAGTGCAGAAACTTTAAGAAAGATACAAGTCGAACACGGTTTGACGGGATCTTTTAAAGATCGTCCGATTGCCGAATGGCTTGGAAAACATAATCCATCGACTTTGGAGTACGAGCGAGCCGTTAAAAATTTTACAGGTAAATGAAAAAAAATTTTTTTTTTTTCTACATTTAACGGTTCATTATTAATCGAACGTCATTTCCTGTTTTAGCCTCATGTGCGGGTTATAGCGTGGCAACCTACGTTTTAGGAATTTGCGATAGGCACAATGATAATATAATGCTCAAAACATCCGGACATTTATTTCACATTGATTTTGGAAAATTTTTAGGTGACGTACAAATGTTTGGTAATTTTAAAAGGTAATTTTTTTCTTTTTTATTTTTAAATTTATATTTAAGAAAATTCAACGTGTAATAAATTTAATTTTTTCCCTCTTTTTTTTTTTCTCCAGAGATCGTTCACCGTTCGTTTTAACTTCAGATATGGCTTACGTGATAAACGGAGGCGATAAACCATCACAAAAATTTCACCATTTTGTCGATTTGTGTTGTAAAGCTTTTTGCATTGTACGAAAACACGGAAACATTATATTAAATTTATTCGGTTTGGTGCGTTGTCAAAATATGAGTGTCAACGAGTAAAAAAAATTTTCTCCCTAAAATGGCGTATTTTTGAATAATTTTACAGATGGTATCATCTGGAATACCTGGCGTTACTTCGGATGCCGTACATTACGTTCAAAAGGCTCTCCTTCCGGACAAATCCGATCCGGAAGCTTCTGCTGTTTTTGCAAGAATGATTGACAGTTCTCTCAAATCGTGGTTTACTCAATTAAATTTTTTTTTACATAATCTTTCGCAGTTGCGATTTAGCGGAGATCACAACGACGGTGATCTTTTAAGTTTCATTCCAAAGCGTTACACGTAAGTTTTCCCCCCTCCTCCCCCCCACGATTTTCATTTATCTATTTATTTATTTTTTGTTTTTAAAGCTGTGAAGAAGAAGGTAGAATTTTACAAGTAAAAGTTCACGGATGTCAAAAAAGATACGATTCCGAAAAATATTATATATACATATTAAAAGTCGATCGGGAAAATCAACCGAATTCAACGTATTTGTTTAGAAAGTATAAAGAATTTTGTGAATTTCATCAAAAGTTATGCACCATGTTTCCCCTGGCTAAATGTTACAGGTAAAATAATTTTTAAAAAAAATCACCGACAAAATTTATTTTTTCTTCTTTTTTTTTTTTTTTTTTGTTACAGTTTGCCATCGGGGATTCAAATTGGACGTAGTAACACTCAACAGGTTGCAGAAAAACGTAAAATAGACATTGAAAAATTTTTAGTATCTTTATTTAAAATGGCGGATGAGATAGCACATTCCGATATCGTTTACACATTTTTTCATTCTTTGCTGAGAGACGAAGAAGAAGAAATAGATATAAATAAGAAAAAGATGAAAGGTTTTATGTTTGTTATTAAAATTTTATTTTTTATAACTTGGGAATAAGTTTAAAAAAAAAAAAAAAATTTTTTATACAATAGGAAAAAAAATAAGCGAGGAAAACGAATCGCACATAATCAAAGGTCAAATAAAAGTATCAACGCAATATAGGAGAGATACATTTGTTGTTATGATACATCATGCTAGGGGATTACCAAAATTAGTCGCCGGACAAGAACCTTCAACGTACGTTAAAGTCTACCTAAGGCCGGACAATAACAAATCCACTAAAAGAAAAACCAAAGTAGTCAAAAAAAATTGTCATCCTTCTTTTATGGAAATGGTAAAACAAACCAAAAAAAAAAAAAAAAAAACTAATTTGGTTTTAATGATTAAGAATAATGATGATGTAAATTCTATTTTTAGCTTGAATATAGGCTTCCTCTGGATGTGATCCGGGAAAGAAGTCTCGAAGTGACAATATGGAATCATGACACTTTACAAGAAAACGAATTCTTAGGTGGGATTCGCTTGCCGCTAAATAATTTTCCATTAGATAGAGAAACTTGCGAATGGTATTCCCTAGATAATTTAGTCAGATGATATTAATTGACCGTTTTAATGTAATTAATTATTATTATTATTAAAAACATTACAAAAATCTGGGAGACCTTAAATAATACTGTGTTTAATAAAAAAAATAATTATATTAAAGTGCAATTAATTTTTTTAATATTATTATTATTAACTATTATTTATTGTTTATTCGTAAGTTTGCCTTTAAAGGTCTATAATTCATCTTCCAAACCTTAAATTCCCTGATTATTTATATAAACATGGGAATAAGTATTTAAAAAATATATTGGTATCATGGAATGCAACAGCACAAAAACAAGATTAATCTTTTGCAAGGTTTAAGCTAATGGAGTCTCAGAGTTTCTGTTTATTCTGGATCTGGAATCTGTAAAAGTTGGGAAAAAAGCAAGAAATTAAAGAAAATAATTTTATTATTTTGATTTATAGTAAAAAGGTTCTTTTTTTCATGGCCAACACATGGCCAGGGCAAGACAAAGAATAATATCTGCAGCAAAACTTTCGAATAAAAAAATTTATTTATTTTTTTTTTAATATGGAGCAGTTGATGATCAATATAAAATTATGGAAAGAAAAAGTTTGGAAATGATTTTAAAGGTAAGTGTCAAAGTTAAAATGAAAAAATTCTTCTCAATTTATTATTATTATGTTGGTGTATTAAAAATTAAATTTGAAATGTTGAACTAAATACCTGATCAGAGAGAGAGAGAGAAATAGTGTGACTTAATTTTTATTTACCTAAATATAACTCTAAATTAATCTTATAAGATATTTTTTATTTATTTAAATAATAATATCTTCATTAAAAATTAAAATGAAATTTTTTAACTTAAATAAAGTTTATAATCCCTTCTCATAAAGCAAGGTTGTATGAAAAACTTTTTTTATTTAAAAAATTTTAAATTATTTTTGACAAATAATAATAATAATAATAATAAATGCGCAGCCTTCTAATAATTTATTTACAAAAAAAAATATATATATATATGTGTGTTAAAATGTGAAAATATTTACATTTTTATTAAAAAAATTATTTTTCACGTTGAAGTTGTTACAGTAAACTGTACGAAAATAATAATAATAATAAAACAAAAAGAATTTCCAATATAATATGTATTAATAATTAGTTTTACATTAAGTAGAAAAAAAAAGTTTGAATTTTCAAAATGAGTGACGATAACCTTAGAAATGACAGTTCAAGAAATCTAGACATAGAAGATAAAGAGACAAAAAGTATGAGAAGGAGTTACCAAGTAAAAGGAGCTCACGAAAAGAGCTACCTTGATTTAAGTCAATTAAGATTTTCTTTAAAAGACAGAGGAAATTCAGAAAGTTCTGAATCGGAGAGCAATGGCGATAGTAATCATTTTCACAGGAGTGTTAGTCAAATGGTAACAAATCATCCTTCATTAAATGGTTCTGAAATAGCAACTTCTCATTCAAATGGTAATATTACCTCAAGAATGGAATTAATACCAAGACAAGATGTTAAATTTATGAGAAAATTTGCTAAATCATTAAAAACTCCGAAAATATTTCAAGGAAGGTATAATTTACAATCAATATCGAATATAGATGTATATGAAAGAAGAAATTACGATCAAAGTAATTTGACGTGTCTTCCTCCGAGAGGAAGTAAAGAAATAAACATGCCTAAAGGCATTGTGGGTACGGGAAAACCAGAAAAAAAATACAAATATGTTATGAAAACATTGAATCCTAAAAGGCGAGGTTATTATTCTGAAACAATATCACCTCTTTTGAGACCTGAACGTATACTTGCTGCAAGACACAAAGAAATGGAACGTTTTCGTCAATTTGCTATAGAAACCGAGGGAGAACATTTTGAAGGTGACGAAGAAGATCTTGATCATGATAAGAAAAAGTCGTCAGATGATGGTGATGAAATAGAAGAAGAAGAACATCCTAAAATAAGAAAAGGTTTGTTAATTATATTTATTTTTATAAATTTTTATACTATGTCTATCTATAAACTTACTTTAAACACCAAGAAATATGAAAACATTATACCAGACGTAGAATGTTCGAGAAATAGTTTTGTGTGTGCGTGTGTGCAAGAGTGTCACATTACCAAATGAATGAAAAGGAATAATTTTTTTTACTTTCTTGCAGATTTATTAAAAGATTGGCCTCCTATATATAAAGTATTAAACTTTGAGCCTGTTTTAGCAGAATTTGATCTTCCTGTAGCTTACAAAGAACCAAATATTGCTGCTAAAGGAAGCATGCCAAAATATGCCATACATTTAGAAAATGTTCCCGCCGTAGCTAAAAGTCGTAACTTTTTACAACCTGAAGAAAAATGGGTTGTTTACGAATCAGAACCTCATATTGTAATTATTGTTTTATTTTTTAAAAAAATATAAATGAAAAAAAGTTAATAATTATTAATATATTACGTTTTTAGGCGTTTCCAGTGAAAGCATTTAGACCGAGATGTTTTATTTTACACGTTGTCGAACCAGGAACTCTACCGCGAAAAGTTTACGTCGAAAGAAAAAGACGTTTGTATTTGTCGCAAAATATCGAAGAATTATTGGCGGAACATGGTTTAACAGACGACGATCTTCTCCCGCCAAAAACCTCAAAAAATGAAGATCAATACAGTTTGTACGGATCGTCGAGTTTTTTACCATTGGAATCATTTGACGATGAAGAATTTGATCCGTGGTAAAATAATATTTTAAAAATAAAAATACAAATCAAAGGTAATTATTTTAAAATTGATAATTAATGGTACTTATCAGTTCTGTTGAAGACTGGTTAGCACTTGGAAAAATAAATGGAATACAACATCCTATACCGGCAGTTGGTTTCGTACCTGTATCATCGCAAAAATTAATTAATTTCGAAATAGGAAAAGCATCCATGAGGTACATAAGTAAAAAAAGTAGAATTTTAACAAATATGGCCAAAGCTAAAAAACTTAGAAGCGATGTAGAAGAATTTCATTATTTATGGATGGATGTTGCTGTAACGAGGTAAATGATTTTGGATTTATTAATTCAACACATTTTTTTTTTTTTTATAATTGATTATATTTGTTATTATATTTAGTTATTATCCAGAAACAAATACTTGGGGAATTGTTACACTGGATGGAACACAATCAAAATTTCGCCTTCCACGAATTTACGTTATGTTTCGAGCTGAAGATCCATTAAATTTTACTTTTCGAGTTTTGGATGCTGTTTTAAGACGAAGACACACGGAAAAATTAATTAAATTTAATATTTATTGCGATTGCATGCCTCTTGAGGGTTTGGATGAAGTTAGTGAAAAATCAATGGAAAGAATTTACAAAAGTATAACGAGAAATGGACTTTTAAAAGATATTGAAGAAACTTTAAATTTGGTATGGACTCAACAATTCATGTTAATCTACCACCCTTTGACAGGATAATCTTTTGACAAATTTTTTATATATATATATATTTTTTTTCATTCAGTTAAAGGAAGACATTCAAATAGAATACAAAAAATGTTTAGCATCTTTGAGCTTTCAAAACATTATTGTTAAATATCCGGAAACGTTTAAATTTATTGAATTACCAGAAGAAAAAACAGATAAAGTTCCAGAAAAATGTCTTGTTGATACATCAATGGCTGATTTTAAGGGGACAAAAGAAAAATTTGCTTGGCTATGGATTTATGTTATAGATGAAACTTATTTGGGAATGATGCATGTTGTCACTGCTTGCTTGAAAATAAGTACAATGAATTTTTTCACAGCTAACTATGGAAAAAGTATTACTCTAAAAGAATTCGATAGCATACAAACGAGTTGTACAAGTAATGTAAGTTTAACAATTCTCAATAATTATTTTAATACATTGAAAACATTATTAGAAATTACCTTATTGTTTTTGAAAAAAGGTAAAATAATACACAATAATACAATGATTGGGATTTTTTTTTTTTTGATTTTTTATTAGCTAATAAAATTTTTGAGAAAAGAGTGGGTTGATTCTGTTGTGACAAATGTAAGAATGTGTCTTCAAGATGTTGGAAAAGGCTGGTTTAATATAAAAGAAAAATCATGGCCAATTTATGAATTGTCAAAATTGAGCAGGTTCATGGAACTCATTAAATTCAGAATGCAAACCGCTCTCAAATACTTAGTGCAAAATTCAATAAATTTATTTTTGAAAATAATTGAAACGCCCAGTGCAATTTGCCAATCTATAATCGACGAAGACTTTGTGTGGGGACCAGACTTATTAACAACACAATTCAAACCTGTTAATTTTCCTATATTTACTTTAGCATTAAACATTGGTTCAGATACTCCTTATTACACCACCAGTCCAGAATCATTTGAGGTATTTTTTTAATGCAAAAAAAAACTTGATGCAGTGATTCATTATATAATAAAATTTAACAGTTAACAGAGACATAAAAATAAATTAAAGAATTTTTTTTAGCTTTTTTTAATACATTACAGGAAATATTGATAAAATTATTTGATAATTCCATTGCTCAAAGCCATACAATACCATTGATTCATCCATATCTTTTATTGAATCTCAGATTTCCAATGTCTTTTCTTTCTTCCATTGGATTAATGGATCCCCTTGTTTCGGGAAAACGTGAACTATTAAGATCATTGATAAGAAAATCAATAATACCATTAAAAGCTTATGCTAGAGAATATAAACAATTTGCAGAGCTTTACAATATTGATGTCAGCCTTTACATGGAGCAAGTTTAATGACATATAAATTTTCTAGAAAAAATAATAATTAGTTTTAAATACTAACAATAATAAAACTTTCTAGAAAATTAGCTGCTCAAAATTTACCAGCAAGTGATTTAAAAGAAGAAATATTAAAAAACCAAGAAGAAAGAGATCGTTTAGAATTACTTATCCCAACAAGTATTACAATAGGGCCTTACATAATTGCAACTGAACTTATAAGAAACAATTTGATGGAAAAACGACAGCTCATGATTGATCAAATATTAGTTTATTTATCAGAAAGATTAGACCAACATGTGAGAGAGGTGATTTCAATTAAATTATTTTTAATTAAATACTTTTTTTCATTTCAATATTTTATTTAAAATTTTTTTTTTTTTTTACAATGGAGTCTTTTTAGGTAATTGATGAATTCGATGAAATAATGAATAAAATGTCAGAAAAGCCAACTTCAATAGAACATATATTTGAAATAAAAGAATGGCTTGAAACGGTTCCGACTACCATCAGAGGATACGATGAAGTAATAAAAAGAATAATTATGGTGAGTTTTTATTTATAATATTCATTTATTGCATAGATAAAGTAAATAAAGTCGTTTTTGTCGTGGTTTTAGGATTATGAAATTTTAGATCATTTTAGCTTCGCTTTGGAAAACGATCAATTTGAAAATAAATATGCATTAATTGGTTGGCCGTATAAATTATATTCTCAAATGGAAGCGACAACAGATTTGCTTGCAGAGGAAACAGATAAATTTTACAAAATTCAACAAGCTGAAGAAGTTCTTTTGTGGGAAAAATATGATTGGTGCGTTAACGAAGTGCAAAATCTTATGTTAGTCAACGATATAAACAAGGTAAAAATTTATTATTAATCAGGTTTTTTATTTTTCCCATAATTTTCACAACGTAAAACATTTTTCTGTGTATGTATGTATCAAAGTTTCCAATCAAGCTAACTTAAATATAAAACTAAAATTTTTCTTTTGATAAGATTCACGACACGGCAGCTCATGTTAAAAAAGTTTGGAAAGTATTAAAAGAAAATCAAGAATTAGCTGCCGTCCTTGTTAGTAGGCAAAAACTTTTTGGAGTTAAAGTTACTTCATTTGATGCTCTCTCTAAATTGACCAAAGATTTTGAACCTTATAAAGATTTATGGTTGACAGCTTCTGGTACAGTGATTATTATATTCAATTATATAACCATGTTATTACATCTGTTTTAAACATGCTTGATTTATCATAGAATGGTTGAAACATTATGATACATGGATGGAAAATCCATTGTCATCAATTGATGGTGAAAGTATAGAACGCCTTCACTCAGAAATGTTTAAAACAATGCAAAAATGTCAAAGAGTTTTTATGGATAGTCCTGAAAATTATAAAATAGCTACTTACATTAAAAATGCCATTGATGATTTTAGAACTTACATACCAATGATAGTTGCTTTAAAAAGTCCTGGTTTAAAAAGTAGGCACTGGGAAGAGATTATAGCACAATCTGGTAAGTTTACACCACATGATAAATTTTATTAGATTAAAAATTGCAACTCTTGCATAATAAACATAAAATCCTTACTTTTGTTATTATTATTATTATTATTATTTATAATTCAGTGAATGAAAACATTTTATTGTTGAAATAATGATATTAAAATAGTATTTTAAGTTTACTTTTATTAAACTTTATATTTATGTATATATGAATGAATAAGGAATTTTTTTTCTTTTTTAGGTTGTTCATTTAAAGTCACTGCGAATTTAACGTTTAAAGATTGCTTGGAAGTTGGACTTGACCATCATGCAGATCTTTTAATAAAAATTTCTGAAACGGCTACAAAAGAACATGGCATTGAAGTCTCATTGGAAGAAATGGAAAAAGACTGGGAATCCATTGAACTGGATTTACAACCTTATAAAGAAACTGGTATATTCATGTTTTACAGATATACATTTTTTAGTTTTTTTTTTTAAATATATTTTGTTAAAATATATTTTCAGGTACATATATACTAAAATTACCCGATGAAGTACTTCAAATGTTGGAAGATCACATAGTGGCAACTCAACAATTTTCGTTTAGTCCTTTTAAAGGCTTGTTCGAACAAAGAATAGACGAATGGGAAGCAAAACTTCGATTGATTTCAGCTGTTTTTGACGAATGGATCGAATGTCAAAAGTAAAAATGAAGAAATTCTTTTTCTATGTAATTTGGAAAATTAAATATTAATTAATTAAAACATCGCAGGCAATGGATGTATCTTGAACCGATATTTACCAGCGAGGATATCTTGCAACAACTTCCACACGAAAGTAAAAAGTATACATCAATGGAAAGAAATTGGAGAAGAATAATGAAAAATGCATTTGATTTACCTAAAGTATATTACAAACAAAAATTTTTTCTATAATTAAATATATTTAATAAAAAAAAACGAAATAGGGGAAATCAAGAATTAGTTTTCTCAATAAATAATAATAATTGTTTTTAGGTAATTTGGTATTGTCCCGATAAAAGACTTTTAGAATCTCTTAAAGAATGTAATTTTCTTCTAGAACAAGTTTTTAAAGGTTTAACGGAATATTTAGAAGCGAAAAGAACAATTTTTCCACGATTGTATTTTCTTTCCGATGATGAATTATTAGAAATATTGGCTCATGCAAAAAATCCTCTGGCTGTCCAACCGCATTTGAGAAAATGTTTTGAAAACATTTATAAGGTTAAATTTTATCATTATTATTATTAATATTAATTTCTTTTTTTTTTTCTTTGAATTTATAAAAATTATTTATATTTTTTTTCAGTTGGACTTTGAAAGCGATTTAAAAATAACAAAAATGTACTCGGCAGAAGGAGAATGTGTTCCTTTAGTAGAACACCTTTATCCAAAAGGTGGAGTCGAATATTGGCTTTATTTGGTTGAGGAAGCCATGAAAACTACGATTCGAGTAACGATGGGAAAATCTTTAGTCAATTTAACTCAAATCGATAGAAATAAATGGGTTTTAAGTTGGCCCGGTCAAATTGTCATTGCCGGAAGTCAAATTTATTGGACTGCTCACGTAGAAGAAGCAATCATTGAAAACACTCTTCCGAATTATATTCAGTTAATTTTAGGCCAATTGGATGGATTGAGAACTTTGGTCAAAGGTCCTTTAAAAAGAGTCGAAAGGCAAATTTTATCAGCATTGATCGTCATAGAAGTTCATGCCAGAGACGTAACGCAACAGATTTTTGAAAATAAAGTGAAAAACGTAAATGATTTTGATTGGATTAGTCAATTACGATATTATTGGGTTAATGACTCAGATTTAAAAGTAAGAAAATTTATAAAAAAACCCATTGCATTATTGTTTCAGCTTATTCCATGTTCAAATGGTATTAATATTTAGGTAAGAGCCGTAAATGCTGAATTTCAATATGGCTATGAATATCTGGGAAACAGCGGAAGGCTGGTTATAACCCCTTTGACGGACAGATGTTATTTAACACTTACAGGAGCTTTGCATTTAAAATTTGGTGGAGCACCTGCTGGACCGGCTGGAACTGGTAAAACGGAAACAACCAAAGATTTAGCTAAAGCTTTTGCTATTCAATGCGTTGTTTTCAATTGTTCGGATCAATTAGATTTTATGGCGATGGGAAAATTTTTTAAAGGATTAGCAAGGTTGAAAAAAATTTGTTTTCGATAATACGAATTATTTGCATCATTGAATATTATTTCATTTTTTTTTTTTTTTATAGTTCGGGAGCATGGGCTTGCTTTGACGAATTCAACAGAATCGACATTGAAGTACTTTCCGTAATTGCTCAGCAAGTTGTTACCATTCAAAAAGCACAAATTCACAGACTCGATAGGTAAAAGAAAAATTTATACTTTGCCATAAAACAAATTAAAACATAACAATGTTGTAATTTTTAATCAGTTTACATTAACTGGAAAAAAAAAAAAAAAAAAATTATTTTAGATTTTTGTTTGAAGGAGTTGAAATAGTTCTTAAACCTTCATGCGCAGTTTTTATAACAATGAATCCGGGATACGCAGGACGTACCGAACTTCCCGATAATTTGAAAGCATTATTTCGTCCGGTTGCGATGATGGTGCCCAATTACACACTTATTGCTGAAATATCTTTATTTTCATTTGGATTTAGTGACGCTAAAGAACTTGCAGGAAAAATCACAACAACTTTTAAACTTAGTTCTGAACAACTCAGTTCTCAGGTCCATATCAATTTCGGTATTTCGCATAATGTCTATTGTTTAAAATCTTAAAATTTTTTTTTTTTACATTTAATACAGGATCATTATGATTTTGGTATGAGAGCTGTGAAAACGGTTATTGCAGTTGCAGGAAATCTAAAAAGAGAACAACCTGAAATGGACGAACGACAAATCGTTTTAAGAGCATTGAAAGACGTCAACGTTCCAAAATTTTTAAGGGATGATTTAAAACTATTTAACGGTATAATTAGCGATTTGTTTCCAAGAATGGTTGAAGATGCTGTTGATTATGGCGGTCTCGAAGAATCCATACGTTTTTGTATACAAAATCTTATACTTGAAGATGTTGATGGTAAAAGTTTTATGATTGTTTTTTTTTGAAAACCTGATAGTATCAGGTCAGTATAATTGTCATTCTAACAAAAAAAATATTTTTGTTTTTTAATTTCAGAATATGTTAAAAAAGTAATTCAACTTTACGAAACAACCATCGTACGACATGGATTAATGATAGTAGGTCCATCCGGATCAGGTAAAACTAAAGTAATTATAAAATCAGAAAACATTTAAATATTGAACCTCGTTAAAAATTTTTATATTTATTTCAATTAATTTTCTTTTTAAAAAAAAAAAAAAAAAAAACTTTTTTAGTTCAACGATTTAAATGTATAAAATTCACGGTATTTTCAGTGTTATGAAATATTAAAAGCAGCCATGACAAAACTTCAGGGAAAACCTTCTCCCAGTGGTAATCCTTTTGAAGAAGTTCACACATATGTTCTTAATCCTAAATCGATAACAATGGGTCAACTTTATGGAGAATTCGATTTGATGACACACGAATGGCAATAAATTTTTTTTTTTTCCCTCATTATATAAAACTTTTAGTCGTAAAAAATCTAATGGCGATGAATCCGTGATTTAGGACGGATGGAATTTTACCCAGTTTAGTAAGAATCGGTACGGCTGCTGAAAATTTAGATAAGCACTGGTATATTTTCGACGGTCCAGTCGATGCCATTTGGATCGAAAATATGAACAGCGTTTTGGACGATAATAAAAAATTATGTTTGACAAGCGGAGAAATAATTAAATTAACCGAAGCGCAAACAATGATGTTCGAAGTGGCCGATTTGGCAGTGGCTTCACCGGCTACCGTATCAAGATGTGGAATGGTATATTTAGAACCTGGAATATTAGGTCTTGAACCTTTTATTAATTGTTGGTTTAAAAAACTTCCGAAGGTATATAAAAAAAAAAACAAAAAGTAACTCAATAATAAATCATAAAGTAAAAAATGATTTTTTATATTTAGCACGCGGAACCACTAATAGAATCTATGCGTACTGCTTTTAATCAATATTTATTTCCGGCATTGGATATTTTAAGAAATAAATTGAGAGAAATAGTGACATCAATTAATTCATCGATCGTTTTTACTTTTCTCGATCACATGAATATAAGATTTAGACCTTTGACTAATCCCGATGGAAAACCTTTGCCTCAAAAACAATTTCTAGCGACTTTACGTGAGTGTTTTTAAGATTTTTAAAACAATTATTTTATTATATTTTTAACGTAACCATTTTTTTTTTTTTTTTTTTTTACAGCAAATCTCGTTGTGCCCTTCGTAATATATTCTTTAATTTGGAGTGTCGGAGCAACTTGCGATAATATGGGCAGAGTCATTTTTTCTGATTGGGTTAGGGAAAGAATGAAGGAATATCAACACGAACCTGTTTTCCCATCGCTTGGATTGGTGTACGATTACAGGTAACAAATTCAATATAACGCATTAAAAAAATACGTATATATAAATAATAATAATATTATGTAAAATTAAAAAATAATAATAATTATTCACATATAACTTTTTATTTCAGGCTTCACGATGGAGGATTTTCAGATCCGATTGAAGAAAGTGAACCTATTCCTCCTTACTGGATACATTGGATGGCCGGAGTTGAATCTTTTGTTGTTGCACCTGAAACAAAATACACAGGTTTATAAAAAATTACTTTTTTTTTTAGATTTTTTTTTTTTTAAACAATAAAATTAAATAATTTTACATTTATTTTTTAGACATTGAAGTTCCAACCATAGATAATATAAGAAATTCTTGGCAATTGGGTTTGTTACTTAATTCTTATAATAATGTAATATGCATCGGACCAACGGGTACTGGTAAAACATTAACCGTCGCTGCTAAACTAGCAAGAGGAATGCATAAGAAATTTATTAGCGATTTCATCGTATTCTCTGCGAGAACATCGGCCAAACAAACCCAAGTCAGTTTGTATTTAATAATTCATCAAGTTTTTAAAACCAAGTGATTAAGTTAAACCGAAATATTTTGAATTATTCGTAGGACGTAATCGATTCGAAATTAGACAAGCGTCGAAGAAATGTTTACGGTCCTCCACCTAATAAAAGACAAATATTTTTTATCGATGATTTAAACATGCCAGCTTTGGAAACTTTCGGTGCTCAACCACCGATTGAATTATTACGTCAATGGATGGATTTTGGCGGTAAAACAAAACTCATTAATATATTCAATTGAAATAATTGATTTATCACGAAATTTTTTTTTTTTTAAAAGGTTGGTACGATCACAAAGAAATCGGAACTTTTAGATCAATTATCGATACTAATTTTGTGGCTGCAATGGGACCTCCAGGAGGTGGTAGAAATCCCATAACCCCTCGTTTATTGAGACATTTTAAATATCTTGCCTTTACCGAATTAGAAGATGATAGCAAAGTAAAAATTAATTAATTTTTAAAAACTTTTTAAAAACGTTGCCTCAAATAGTTTTTAAAATAAAAAATTAAAAAATTACAGATGGTTATTTTTGGATCTATCGTTGATTCTTGGTTAAGTCGAACTTCATCTCTTCAACATTTAACAAATAAATTAGTTGAGGAAACGATATACGTTTATAAAACGGTTTTAACCGTCATGTTACCGACTCCCGCCAAAACTCATTACACGTTTAACTTACGTGATTTGAGCAAAGTATTTCAAGGGATATTAATGGTGGATCCTAGAACGATCAATGTAAATTTTACATTCAGTCAATATAATGATGGGATTTTTTTATTAAATTAATTTTTTTTGTATATTTTCAACTAACTAAAGGACTTATCCGATCTTTTGAATTTATGGTATCACGAAAACTGTAGAGTTTTCCAAGATAGACTCGTTAATAATATGGATCAAAATTGGTTTGATGATCTTTTAAAAAAAGTCATAACCGATTATTTTTCGGCTGATGAAAAAACAGTTTTAGGTACGGAAATGGTTATTTATACGGATTGTTGTAGCGATACAAGAAATTACGAAAGGATAACAGATTTAACAAAGGTACGTTCTCTGTTTTTAACATCAAAGAGATATAATAATAATAATAATGATATGACATTTGATTAAAGTTACAAAGTGTCATAGAGGAAGGTTTGGAAGATTATAACTCCAGATCGACGGCACCCATGAAATTAGTTCTTTTTCTGGATGCTCTTTCTCACATGTGTAAAATATCAAGAATAATAAGGCAACCTTTGGGAAATGCATTACTTTTAGGAATGGGAGGCTCGGGTATGAAAGTCTTGTAAATTTTCCTGTAGTGTTTACAAGTATTATTAAATTTTGCTTTTTTTTTTTTTTTTTTTGTCAGGACGTCAGAGTTTATCCAAATTAGCTGCACATATGAGCGAATTACTTTTCTTTCAAATAGAACTTAGTAAAAATTACGGGATGACCGATTGGAAAGATGATATTAAAAATTTATTGATTCGATCTGGAATTGAAAACAGAGAATTAGTTTTTTTATTTTCCGATACGCAAGTGCGTTTTTATATTCTTCTTAGTAATTTTTCATTTTATTAACATTCAAATATAATTTATTATCGTGATTTAGATCAAGATGGAATCATTTCTCGAAGATCTTAACAGCATTCTTAATTCCGGAGACGTACCGAACATTTACACATCGGATGAATTGGATAAAATCTACGTGGCAATGAGGATTCCCGTACAAGAATCTGGATTACAATCGACTAAATCAAATATGTTTGGAATGTATTGTAGATATATAAGATCAAATCTTCATTGTGTTTTAACAATGAGGTAAAAAGGACTGAAACTTTTTTGTAAAAAAAAAATAAAAGAGAATTTTTTATAATATATTAAAAAAATTTAGTCCCATCGGTGAAGTATTTCGAGCTAGACTTCGTATGTTTCCTGCTTTGGTAAATTGTTGCACAATCGATTGGTTTTTTCCTTGGCCCAATTCAGCCCTACAAGTAAATGTTTTTTTTTCTTCTTTTTTTATTTAGTTTTAATTACGGGCTTTTTTTTTTTTTTTACAAAAAAAAAATTATTCAGAAATTTTTTTTTAGTCTGTCGCTTTACGTTTTCTCAAAGAAGTTTCGGATTTGGAAGTCAGCGATTCGATACTCGATGGTATAGTAGACACATGTCAATTCATGCATTCAAGTGTTATAAAAATGAGCCAACAGTATTTAGCTCAATTAGACCGGCACAATTACGTGACTCCCACGCTTTATCTCGAATTATTATCAAGTTATTCTCTTTTATTAAAAAAGAAAAAAAATGATTTATTATCCGCGATAAAAAGGCTTCAAACAGGTGAATGCCAATTTTTTTAATTCTTGATAACTCAATAACAAACAAAAAATCCATTAACGTGTATTTTCTTTAATAGGTTTAAAAAAAATGGAAACAACTGCTAAAGAAGTTAAAGTTTTAGAAGGGGAATTATTCAAGTTAAAACCTCATTTAGATGAAGCTGCAAAAGAAGCTGCTGCAATGATGGAAAAAATAACCGCGGATACGGTAAAAAAATTATGAATAAAATTTAAATATTTACCAATTAATCTTTAAATTTTTTTTTTTTTCTCTAATGTAGGAAATTGCCGAAGAAACTAAATCGAAAGTTGCTATTGATGAAGCACTCGCAAGTAAAGTTAAAGAAGAAGCTCAAATACTTTCGGATGATGCACAAAAAGATTTAAATGAAGCTTTACCTGCACTAGAAGCGGCAGAAAAAAGTCTGCAGGCATTAAATAAAGGAGATATAGGAGAAGTTAAAGCATTGAAAACACCACCTGTTGGTGTTATAACGGTTATCGAAACTATTTGCATAATAAAAGGGATTCCTCCTAAAAAGGCACGATCGTATCATTAATATTATTATTATTATTTATTTTATATTTATTTTAATGAAAGCTGATATGATTAGGTTCCCGGTGAAATTTATGGCACTAAAATAAACGATTATTGGGAACCTGGTAAAAAAATGATGGCCGACGCTGGTCAATTTTTAGCATCACTTCTTCATTTCGATAAAGATTCAATAACCGAAGATATGATTTTAAAATTAGAACCGTATATAAAAAATCCTAATTTTCAACCTTCGAAAATAATAAAAGTATGTTTATTATTAAAATTAAATAAATATTTTGTTTAATTTTTAATATATATATATGAAAAAATCAATATGGCGGATATTGATTAATTTTCGTTTTTTTTTTAATAAAGGTATCAAAAGCATGCACGTCTCTTTGTATGTGGGTTCATGCTATGTACAAATATTATTTCATTAATCAAATTGTAGCACCTAAAAAAGCAGCTTTGAAAGTAGCAAATGAAAAATTAGCAGAAGTGCAAAAAGTTTTGGATAAAACAAAAGCAAAAATGGCTGAGGTGAATGGTTTATAATGGCGGATTGAAATCATTAAAATAAATGGAAATTTTAATAAGTTTGGAAAAAAAATTTTTTTTTTTTTTTTTAGATTCTTAAAGGTTTGGCAGAACTTGAAAAAAAATTCAAAGAAACCGAACAAAAAAAAGCAGTACTCGAAAACAGTACAAAACTTTGCGAAGATAGAATGGATCGAGCTTTTCGATTAATACACGGATTAGCCGATGAAAAAGATAGATGGATTCATACGGTTGAAAAGTATAAAAGTGGATTAGATAATATAATAGGAGATATATTAATTTGCTCTGGTAAAATCTCTTTGTCAAAATTAAAATTATTTTATTATTATTATTATTATTATTGTGAAATGATTATTAATTATTAAAGGTTCCATTGCGTATTTGGCTCCGTTTACGGATTATTATAGAAGAAAATTATTAAAATTATGGACGAATCAAATATCTGATAAAAACATACCCCATACATTAAAATGTGATCCCGTTTCCATTTTGGGAGATCCCATTTTAATACGTCAGTGGCAAATCTATGGACTCCCGAGAGATTTTTTAAGTATTGAAAATGGTGTTCTTGTGGCTAATTCGAAACGTTGGCCACTTTTTATCGATCCTCAGGGTCAGGCAAACAAATGGATTAAAAACATGGTATAACCTCCTATTATTTCTTCCCAATAATTCTCAACGAAACCTAACTCAAGCTCCAATCAAAGCAAATAAAGTAAAATAACGAATTCAGGTATATAAAAAAATTATTATTTAAGGGAAAAGAACATGGAATAACAATATCGAAATTATCGGATAAGGATTTAGTAAGAACTTTAGAAGCTTCTATAAGATTTGGTAAACCTTGTTTGATCGAAAACGTCGGTACGGAATTAGATCCAGCTTTGGATTCTGTTTTATTGCGTCAAGTATTTAAACAAGCTGGAACTTGGGTTCTTAAATTGGGTGACACAATCATTCCATATAATAATGACTTTAGGTTATACTTGACGACAAAATTAGCGAATCCACACTACGCTCCAGAAGTTTTTATTAAAGTCCTTTTGATAAATTTTGCTTTAGTTCCAAGGTAACCTTTCAAATATACTTTTTTTTTATAATATGATTTTAATCAAAAAAAAATTTAATTTTTTTTTTTTAGCGGGCTTCAAGATCAATTGTTAGCACTTGTAGTCATGCAAGAACGTCCCGATCTGGAAGAAGCTAGGAGTATGTTGGTTGTAAGCAGTGCACAAATGAATCAAGAATTACAAGAAATCGAAGATAGAATTTTATACAAGTTGAGCGTATCGGAGGGTTCACCGGTGGATGATGTTGATTTGATACAAACTTTAGAAGCATCAAAATTAAAATCTGAAGAAATCAAGGTGTGTAGTATTATTATTAGTTTTTAATTATTATTACTCATTCTTGTAATGTTTTTTTGTTAATTCTGATAAAAATTACATTACCAACAGCAAAAAGTTCAAGCAGCCGAAATAACTCAAACTGAAATTGATAATACGAGGGCATTGTATATTCCAGTAGCAAATAGAGCTCAAATTTTATTTTTTTGTTTGGTTGACATGTCAAATATTGATCCCATGTATCAATACTCGATGGATTGGTTCGTTAACATATTTATCAATAGCATGGCAAACACGGAAAAAACAGGTAATTCTTGTTGTAATTGTTTTTTGGTATTTTTTTTTTAAGGAATCGAACCCTAAAATAAAATTTTTTCTTACAGGAGAAATTAAAACGAGACTCGAAACAATAAACGATTATTTTACATTTTCATTATATGCAAACGTTTGCAGAAGCTTATTCGAAAAAGATAAACTTTTATTTGCGTTTCTTGTATGCGTTAGAATTTTAATCGATTCGAATAATATCAATCCGGAAGAATATCAATTTTTGCTGGCTGGAGGCGTTGCTAAAAAAGTCAGTGAACGATTTGTATCTATAAATGTAACAAAAGATTGTAGAAGAAAAGTAGTTAAATCCGTTATTAGAAATAATTAAGAACTTTGGTTACAAAGGTTTTCTTTTTTGGCAGAAATACAACAATCCAGCTCCCAATTGGATAACGGAACGAGCCTGGATTGAAATAACATCACTTGATAATCTTCCCTCGTTCGAACGTCTCGTCAACGAATTTAGTTCGAGTGTTGATGGCTTTAAAAATATTTACGATTCCGTAGAGCCTCACAGGTATTTGTCCATTCGTAAAAATTATATTATGGTTTTTTCAAAAGTCGCTAACTAAAAAAAAAAAAAAAATTTTTAGGCATAGTTATCCGCAACCGTGGAACACTGAACTTACCATGTTTCAAAAAATAATTTTTTTAAAATGTTTGAGACCGGATAAAGTTAGAAATGCCATGCAAGATTTTTTATCTGTAAAACTCGGTCAACAATTTATTGAACCTGTAACAAGTGATTTGCAATCAATGTACAAAGAATCCACTCCTTTTAATCCTTTAATATTTGTTTTATCTGCCGGTACTGATCCAGCTGCTGAATTAAACAAATTTGCCGACAGGGTAATTTCAAATAAAAATATATATAAACTTTATTTAGGAATCCATTTTAAATTTATTTTCCTTTTTTTTTTTTTTTTTTTAGATGAAAATGTCAAAAAGATTCGAAACTATTTCACTGGGTCAAGGTCAAGGTCCGATAGCAGAAAGAATGATGGTTAACGCCATGGATTCTGGATCTTGGGTTTATTTTCAAGTGTGTTAATTTTTGTAAAAAAAAAAAATAAATTTTTATAAAATTTCCAACTTTAAAAAAAAAAAAAAAACCTTAAACTTTTTTTTTTAGAATTGTCATTTAGCTCCCAGTTGGATGCCTAAAATGGAACGATTAATAGAAAGTATTAATCCAGAATCTGTTCATAAAGAATTTCGTCTTTGGTTAACGTCGACTCCATCACCTCATTTTCCAGTTTCCATTTTGCAAAATGGTAGTAAAATGACCGTGGAACCTCCTCGAGGAATCAAAGTACTGTCTCGTATACACATAAAGTTTTAAATAAAAGTCTTTCGATTCTTTATTATGAAAAATAAATTTTAGGCGAATCTATTAAAAGCTTATTTAAATCAAGTACCAGAATTTGCGGAATTTTTCCATTCGGAACATCAAAAAGCGCAAATTTTCAAATGGCTTTTATTCTCTCTCTGTCTCTTTCATGGAGTCTGTTTAGAGAGGAGGAAATTTGGTCCACTCGGTTTTAATATACCATACGAATTCACAGATGGCGATTTAAGAATATGCGTTTCACAATTATATATGTTTCTAAGAGAATATGCCGACATTCCATTTAAAGTAATCACATTTTTTTTTTTTTTTTGTTTAATTTTGTGTGACAAGGAGAGTAAATTGAAAAGGTTTAAATTTTTATTTAAAGGTATTAATTTATACGGCGGGTCAAATAAATTACGGAGGCCGTGTCACTGACGATTGGGATAGAAGATGCATTATGAATATGTTGACAGATTATTACAACATCAAAGTTTGCTCTTCCGATCATTATTTCGACGACAAAAAAATTTACCATCAAGTAAGAAAGAAAGAAAGAAAGAAAGCAATTTTTTAGTGATGTTAACGTTTGAATTGTAATAATTAATAAATAAATAATTTGTCGATTGAAATGACAGCTTTCAACTGAGGCAAACCTAAATGATCATTTAACCTACGTCAAAGGCCTACCACTGAATGATGATCCTTCTCTATTTGGTCTTCATGCCAATGCCGACATCAGCTGTGCACTTGCAGAAACATCTAAAGCATTGTCAACTTTGCTCTCAATTCAACCGAAACTTTCAGTTAGTGAGGCTTCTAGTCAAGAAGAAGTTACCGGAAAAATGGCAAAGATAATTTTAAGTAAAATTCCTGGTAAAATAGATCTACAATTAGCTCTTGCAAAGTGAGTTTTTATACACGAAACTTATATTTAATTAATAATGATACAGGCACGGCAAAACCTGAGATCAAATTGTCATTTTAGGTATCCAGTCCTGTATGAGGAATCACTAAACACTGTTTTAACGCAAGAAATAATAAGATACAATAAACTTTTAAATGTGATTCAAACGACTTTAAAAGACCTTTTGAAAGCATTAAAAGGTTTGGTTGTCATGTCAGCCACATTGGAAGAAATGTCTTTAAGTATTTTTAATCAAAAAGTACCCACAGCTTGGAGTTCTAAAGCTTATCCATCATTAAAACCTTTAAGTAAGTATTTTTTTTTTTTTTAATTAGCTTAAATAATAATAATAATTGTTGAAAAATTTAATACTGACAAGGGTAAAAAAAAAAAAAAAATTCTTTTCATAAGGTGCTTGGGTAAATGATTTAGACAAAAGGATAAATTTCATACAAAAATGGATAAACGAAGGAATTCCTCCGGCATTTTGGATTTCCGGTTTTTTTTTCCCACAAGCATTTTTAACCGGAACGTTACAAAATTTCGCGCGAAAATACATAATATCAATCGATGTGATATCGTTTAGTTTTCAGGTGATTGATTGATCGAATATAAAAAAAAAAAAAAAATTTTTTATTTTATTACAAATTTATTTTTTCATAATTACAGATAATGGTAGCTCCTCCTACGAAAAGACCAGACGATGGTTGTTGTATTTACGGACTTTTCATAGAAGGCGCACGATTTGATAAACATTTGAATCGGTTGATGGAATCTAAACCCAAAGAACTACACACTGGTAAGTGATAATAATAATAATATTTTTTTTAAATGTCGTAGTATCGTGCACTTCTATGTAGGCAAATTATTTCACTCTCTTTTTTTCGTTTCCAAATTTTTTTTTTTTTTAGAAATGCCTTATATTTGGTTAATCCCTAAAGAAAATTATTCTCTTCCCCTTACCGGAATATACGAATGTCCCGTTTATAAAACATTAACAAGAGCGGGTACCTTATCCACAACCGGTCATTCAACCAATTACGTTTTAGCTATTGCTATCCCCACAGATAAAACACAAAGCCATTGGATTAAACGGGGAGTCGCATTGATTTGTGCATTAGATTATTAACTTAAATTACTAAAACTATTTAATAATAATAATAATAATAATAGCAATACAAAATAAATTTAAAATTATTCTGACCAATTTTTAATAGTATGCGGACTTAGTTTAAATAATTTCTTTTATCGAGGGATTTAAAGAAATCAACAAAAGAATTAAACAAAATTTAAATTATTTTATTAGAAAAAATTTTTCATTAAACAATCTGGAATAGGAAATTTTTTATCTTCGTCTTCTTGCTCTTCTATCAAGCAACCCAAGAGTTTTGGTACATCCACGATAGTTCCAGATACCAATTTCATAAACCTACTCTTATCGTCTTTATCGGCCATTTGATAAGACATCAAGAGTCTTTGACAAATGTATTTGTCACTTATTGAAATATTTCCCACTTCTATATATTTTTGCTCGTGACAAGAATACATTTGAATGCTAGCCCTTAAACATTCCCAGCACTCTAGGGAAGAAGCGTTGACGTAAACAACTCTAAAATGATGTCCCAATTGTTCGTACAGATTAATAACGATATTTAATGTTTTCCCGAAAATTGACATCATTTCGTTATAATTGTCCGCAGTGAGTGCAAACATATCGACGCAAGTTCTTTGCCAAAGGTTGAACAATCCTGATGATGATTCATCATCTTGCTCTTGAAGTGTGGGCTTATACTGTCGTCCGACAGTAAAATACTTCAAGGGTAAAGATGAGAAACCTATTGTGTATTTCGTGTGAAAAGCACAAAATGGATAAATGGAAGCACCCCCGACTAAATGCAATCTATAATTCGGTTGTACTTTTTCATTCGGTAATAAAACTGTAAAAATTGAATTGGGATCTGAATGATCGGCTCCGCATCCTTCCACAACTAAACTCCTAACAAAATCAGGATTTGAAAATGGTATATATTCATCTGCCTTAAGACCTTCCGAAAAGTAAGAACTCGTTGCCAATTCGAAAAGTGCAGCCTCACTTTTAAGGTAGCATAATGAGGGATCCCTATAATCGATCAGGTTTTGCTTTTGACCAATATCTAAATGACTGTATTTTTGATTGATTATTGGCCTGTCCTTATACTGGTGCACTATTTTGTCTTCTCCATCAGGAGTATCCTTATGCAATTCATTAGGCAGTGATAAACCTTTCATAATGACTTTTTCTTCGACTTCCCAAAAAGCTTTCATTAGAGTTTTCAAATCTTCTCTTACTATTCTACCTTCTATTTTCAATTTTTCCATTTCTTGCTTCGCTTCACCATCATTCCCAATCTTTTTCAGATCCTTTATATTATCAGCTATCTGAGTCTTTCTTTTTTCTAATTGTAATTTTGTTAATTCCAAATATTTTAAAAAATCCCACAACGATTTGAGTTTCAAAGGATCTATTTCTAATTTTCTTCTATCCACATTTTGTTTAAGCTTAGATATTTCTTCAAATTTTTTTTCCAGGTCTATATAAGGTTGAGTTAATGTTGTCGCTAACGGTGGTAGGCAATTGGCAGTTAATTTAGACATCCATATATACCTGGCAATGATTTTTTTTTGTTGACTTTTAAATACATTTTTTATATACAATGCCATTTTAAGGTTTATTCATTGCAAATTTCCATTTCATGTAAAGGCTGAGTTTCTATTCGTCTTCTTTTAGGCTCTATAAAATTCCCTTTACCAGCAGCTCTTTCGGAATCTTCTATGGTATAAGGTTCTTCTTCTAAATCCTTAAGTCTACGTTTATGCCCTTTCGATCGAAAATGTTCTTTAAGTGCTACTTGATCAATAAAATACCTCCTGTAAATTTAATTACTAACAATTAAGATTTGAATAACAGTCATTTACAAAAACTAACCTCTTAATAATTCAAAGATAAAAATTATAAATGATTTTAAAATATTACTTACGCACAGTGAATGCAGTAAAATTGAGCACATCCAGGTTTATTTAAATCTATTTCTTGATGTAATAGCGAAGAAACTTTTTCTGGTTTCAAGTCCTCATTTATCTAAACAGAGAAAAAAAAAAGAAAAGAAAATTGCTTTAAATAATTAATATAAATAAAAGAAAGGGTGACATTTATGCAAAAGATGAAAAAAAATCTATTTTACATATGTTATAAGAGTGCATACATAAGTCACATTTTGCAAAACCCAAAAATTTTTATCGATTTAGATATAATTTCGAATAAATTTACAAAAACATGAAAGTATTGTTTTTCCGGAAAATTTACTCGAAATAATTATAATTGAATTCATAATTTTTTCTTTTGTTAAATATAAAATAATGAAGGGTATCGGCATTGAAATTAATAATTAGATTTAAAGACATGTTCGGGGTTCTAAACATTAGCCTTTTTTCCGTTTATGTAATTATTACCTCATCTAAATCTTTTCTACGATTTCTGGTTCTCCAACGTTTTTTTTCGCGTTTATTTCCCTGGTAACTCTTTTTACGTTTGCACGGCATTTGTTTAAATAATGGTTTAAATAACTAAAATGAACTTATTATGCTACCTACAGAATTCAAAGGTTTTACCTTGTATTGAAATTTCCGTGTCAATTAATGCTGCAATCTATTGGCGAATAATATAATGAAATTCAGTGTTGCCAAGGCTTCGGGACGCGCACATTCATTAATTTTCATATCTCAATCAATAACAAAGTTATGTAGTGTTATTAAAATGCTTGAAACGTAAAACTACCACATCTAACTTGCCAGTTTTTATATTTTTCACGATATAAATACAATATTATTTAACTTGTCTTATTATAAGTAAAATAACCGCTCCCATTTCGGCTTGGCAATTCTTTGTGAGGACGCCATTTTGTGATTGCGAGCATAAAGAAACGCTCTAGAAATATTTAAAAAAAAAATGATTTAATGTTTTATTTATATCAAAACATATAATTTGTGCTGACTGTTATAAGTAAAAACAAATGAGACAATGTTTGTTGTGATGACGGGTGGGTCAACTTGCGCGGCATGAGGAAGCTCATTCAACTCTCACTCGCGAAGTAGATAGCTGCACCAGAGGCAGTCGTATCTTATTCATGGGTTTCCTTGTCTAATGGACAAATAACATTTAACGGGCGCTCGAACTGGCCCCCAAAATGGATCGGTTCGACGACCCTAAGAGCTATCGTCAGAAAAGGGAGTCCTTCACCCGTTCCTTGCAACATTTCCACGAAACTAGAGGGTAGGTTTTCAACAAAAAAAAAAAAAAATTCCAAAAAATTTCAAGTTTTATGTTTTTATACGATCTTTTCACTTCAAAAACGTTTCCTTTATTAAAATACAAAAAAATTTCCCAAACTAATTTACCCTTAACGAATTTTTGCATTAAAAATATTGTTACCATACTGTAGTGTATTAATTCCATTACTACATAATGATAGTAGTAAATTTCTTTATATTTTAAATTATTTTGTTATCACAAGTTTGTTATTATATATCACTTTAATACTTGTCAAGTATCAAGTCTCAAAACAAGTAAAAATTTTTGTTTTTTTTTTAAAATTCTATTAATTTCAGTGAGGTTGCAATAACAGTATTATATGGTAAAAATCATTAATTTTTTTTTTTCATAACTTTTATTTTACAGAATTTGTTTTTAATCTTTTACCCTAAGTTCATTTGTAATATTTCAAAAGATATTTAATTTTATATTGGTTTTATGTGTTTTTACAATTTACAGTGAGTGATTAAGCAAAAAAAATTTTTTTTTTAAAAGGCATTCTACCTTAATAGAATCTTTAAAATATTTTATCATTATTATTAGTTCAAAATAATCATTCTAAAAATTCAACTGTTAAAATTTCAAATCATATAGAAATTTTTTGTCACTTATTTTCAACTTTAATGGTTTAAAATTTATTATTTATTAGTGTGCACAAAGTTTTATTTATTAATATTTAGTTATTACCTTTTTTTATAATATTTAATAAATAGAATTCAGTAAATCAGTGAGTGTGACTTATGTATCCGAAAAACATTATGACAAACTTAAAAATCTTAAATCGGTTTTTAAACTGTAAAACATTTTAATGCTGGAATACGTTTGTTTCATTACAGTAATATTACTGTTTGTTTGTTTGTTTACAAATTTTAAATAAGTGGTATTAGTGACACTATTAGGAAGACAATCATTAGTTCTATCATAAAATGTTTTTTTTTTTAATAGGAAATCAATTTCAAATATATATATAGATAAAGCTATTATATTTAATAGTATTATTATTTACATAAACTTATTTCCAAAAAATTATTTTTTTGAGTTTTTACTAAATCCTACCCTTAAATAAAATGTACATGATATTCGTTTGTAGATGTTTGGTAGTGCAAGAAAATTAAATTTTTTTATTTAACTATATTGAATATTTATATTATTACCTTCATTTTGAGTTTGTCAATTTTTTTTTTTTTGTATAATTTATTTTTCCATATTATTAAATCATGAACGCATAATTACTAATTTTTTTTTTTTTTTAAAACAATTTTAATTCTTTTTTTAATTTAGTTTTTTTTGTTTTTAATGATTTGTAAAATTAAATTTTAACTAATCAATTGTTCATTCAATTTAATTTATTTTAAGGTTTTTCTTTTTTTTTTTTTTTTTTTTTTTGTCACAATTTAATCAAAGTTTTTAGTTTCATAGTAGTAAACAAAAGGAGGGAAGGGGGGGAGGGGAGAAAAAAAAAAAACAATCTTGTTGTTGAATTGTTATTACATTCTTTATTTTTAAAATTTTTTAGCGCGCCTTTATTTCACATTGGCAATAGGTTGTGATGAAAAAAAGATTACTTTTACACTCCTACCGTTGAAAAAAAAATTTTTTTTTTTTTTTTTTGCGTTTTTAAAATTTATTTAATTAAAGTTATTTTTGTTTTTTTTTTTTTTTCTCCATATAGGACACCGTTTAAGAAAATTCCCCAATTTTGCGGCAAGGAAGTGGATTTATTTCGATTGTATAATGTAGTGACACAACGTGGAGGATGGGTTAAGGTAAGAAATAACAATAAACAATTTTTTATTATTATTTATTTTTTTATTTATATTATTAAAACCTTCTATTTGCCAATCATATTCGAAACGATTGAATTTGCCGTTGTCAATCTTGTTAGATTCTTTAAATCCAAATGATTTCCTTTAAAAAAAAAAAAAAAAAAAAAAAGATTTCACAGGAAATATGACCGTTATTAACAGGCAATTAATTAAAAAATGTTTACCTTTTGTTTTTGTTGTAAATGTCATAGTGTTGTTATATTTTTACACTTTCTTTCATTTTTTTTTTTTTTGGCTTTGATTGAATAACATCTATTTAATTACACAAATTTAATACTTTTAATTTGATATATATATATATATATATATATATATATATATATATATATATATATAAAAAAGAGTTTTATTAAGGAGGTTCGAATTTTTAAATAATTAAAATGCACATTCAATCCCATCACAAAAACGGTTTTTTTTTTTTTTTTTTTAGTAATTTAACTCGATTTTCATTTTGATTTATTTATTTATCGAAGAGGTTAATAAATAGTTATTAATGCAGGTTAGTTGATTAAATGAAAACTATATTGAAAATCATTTATCAATCTTCACAACATAAATTAATTTGAATAATGTACTTTGTTGGATTTGAAAAAAAAAAATAATAATAATAATAATAATTTTTTTTAACGGTTTGGATTCAAAAAAAATAATGCATGCGTTAATTTATTTACTTGACAAAATTTTTTGTTAATTAAATTTTATGATTTAATTTGTGAATTATGTAATTGATAAAGAGAGTAATGAGTTTAAATCAATATTTGACATGTTTTTTTTTTTTGTCTCCCCAACTTTAAAAGTCGGTTTTTTGTAAATTACGCAGACGCATCACTTTATTCGATAATTGCACAAAAGCCCCATCACGTGATATGATGGTCCTATTCCAGACCAAAAGGTGATTTACGATCAATACCTCATACGCGATCAAGGATTCCCGTATTATACCCGTTACATTATTTTAAATTTAATCATTGTTTTTTATATTTATTTAAAAAAACACCCCCTCCCTCCCCCACGGAGAGTAACAACACCGTTCGAAATTTGTAAATTTTATTTTATTTAATTTTTAGGTCAATAGAAGTAATCAATGGAAAGAAATTTTACAAGAGTTCAACATACCAAAGGGATGCGTGAACGGGGGAAACGCACTCAAACAAATTTACCTTAGGTATGCAAATAAATAATTATTGCACGTTAAAATAATTAAATAAAAATAACACAAGGTTTAAGGTTTAAGGTTTTCATTCATTAATAAAAAAAAAAAAAAAAAAAAATTTCAAGCGTTGATTTAAATTAATTTTTTCTACGGTTATTCATTAAGAAAAGAATAGGTCGTTAAATTTTTCTTCATGTATTTACAATTAAAATTGTTAAGAGAGAGAGAGAGAGAGAAAAAAACCTTAAATTTTCTTCGTTCTTACCAAATTTCGTGTTTACATTTTGATTTTCCATTTTCCGATGAGACGGTTGGTGAAAAAAAGACACGGAGGTGAAATGAAAATTTTTCTCGTATGCATCGCGGAACTTTTGAACGTTTAATGGTGGCAGTGGCGGCAGTGTGTGTTCACGGACGAAGATTTTTTTGTTTGTTGTTGTTGTTGCCTCGTACTCGATCGCTGTTTAGCGAGACGAGAAAGTTTGTTTCGTTCGTCTTTATTTCTCTTAGCGTGCTCACTGCCCACTCGACGTCTGCACAGTGACTAGACTTTTACAACGTGGCCTACGCGTAAACCACGTGCTCCTGGTCGTACTATCGGACATGAATGAAAATTCCACTCCTTCCTAAATATCTGTCACAGTCACAGCTTCAACCTTGTGAGAAAAAAAAAAAAAAAAACTACGATTTCAAAATTCTTATCGCATATCGATTGTGAGGAGTCGCGCATTTGATCTTCGTTTGGTTAATACAAATTTTATTTATTTAATTTTAAAAATTTTACCTCGATACGTATACACAGTAGTAGTCTCTTAATTTTGACTATTAATAAAATAATATTTTTTTTTTTTTAATAATAATAATAATTTTTTAAACAGAAATTTAATTTTTTTTTTTTTTTTTTTAATTAGATACTTAGATCGTTATGAAAAAGTCCACTATTTGGGTGAATCAAGTGACCGGCACGATATTGATGAAGAAGATATTGAAACTCGTCACAGGAGATGGAGTACCCGGTCCATACATACCGTTCCCCTAACATACAACCATCATCAACATGTTATAATTGGTTTGTTATTTTTAACACGTACAATAATAATAATAATATTTTCAATAAAAAAAATTCAAAATTTTTTTTTTTTTTTTTTCAGATAATCTTAGAAAATTTAATGGCCTCTCATCCGACATTTATAAAGCCTCCGATTATGATAGGTTAGCACTGTCATTAGTTTCTCCATTACCAAACGAGCAGGATTTTGCTATAAATGTATGCACCCTCCTGTCGAACGAAGGGAAACATACGTTAAAATTAGACAAATGCCCCAGGATCGTTGATTATTTGCTTGCTCACGCCGGGGTTTACAATCATTGTATGTATTGCCTTTACCATTTTTTTTTTTTTTGACTAAATGGAAATAAATTAATAAAAAAATTTGAATTCATTTTTTTTTTTTTTTTTTTTTTTTAGCTAATCTTCGGGTATTATTTGAAGAAGTCTACGGTAAGATTCGGGGTCATTCATTATCAAATTTTTGGAAAGATGTTTTAGAGCATAACGAATTGTTGGATCTTACGAATGAAAATAATTTTGTTAAAAAACCTCCGAAAAAGTTTAGAGTTTTTCAACCCGCACATTTTCGAACTTTTAACAATTACGATAATTCCACTCGTCCGGAAATCGAATCGACCGCCCATACGAAAAATCTAAACCCCAAAAAATGCGATTGGAAAATGGTTAACGATATTGTTGTTTCATCTCGAAATGAAATTAAGGGAAAAAATGAATCTGATGCTGTAGTCGTGAATTTAAATGAAAAAAATGAATGCAGTATTCGACATCTCTCAAAAACCGACGAAACTAGTGTTAGTGATACGTGTAACAATACTGATAAAAATGAACTTGACGCGGTTGTTACTGTTGTTGACAACACAAACGAATCAGTGATTGTAAATAATGAAGAAACCGAAGGTAAAAATTCAAATGTATTTAAAATAAAAAACCTGAGTGGAAATGAAAGTACGGATATCATTCCCGATTTTTCCAAGTGCGTTGAAAATAATTTTACCGTTAATTCAGACTTGAGCAGTAAAACTGTCGAGAGTGAATCCGTGTTATCTAGAAGTAAATTTGATGATATTGTTAAAAGTACTGATAAATTAAATTTAAATATGAATGCGAATAATATTACTTGGTCGAACTCGGTGGTGGATTGTGATGAAAAAGACTCGGAAACAGCCTTGGATAGTTCGGAGTTGAAAATTACCTCGACATTAACGGAAACCACACGATTCTGCCATAACAAACCCATTGATTTGTTTTCTTCCGAATCGACAAACATTTCAACGGTGGAGAATCAAAGCGATGTCGATTTCAACGATACATTAAATAATTTAGAAAAATCAGCTTTAATCGAAGAGGAAAATGAAAGGTTAAAAGAAGAAGAGGAGGCTAGAAAAATTGAAGAGGAAAGGTTAAAAAGTATAGAGGAAGCCAAAAAAATTGAAAAGCAAATGAAAGAGGCGGAATTTTACGAGGCGTTGCTGAAAAAAGAAATGGAAAAAAAGAAAACGTTTTGTTGGGAAGAAAATTCCGTCAAAAAGAATCATAATAATAATAATAATAATAATACGAGAGAAAATTCGTTAAAAATAGAAGCTGAAGATTATGAATTATTTTGCCTGGGTCGTGAAAATGGGACTAGCGATTATATAGGACAACGTGTTCTGCAGGTGAGTTTTTTGGAAAATTCCAATACTTGGTTCGTGTTTTTTATTTTAATAAAAATTTGTTGTGTTGTTTACAGGTGGCCCAAATATTACGAAACTTGACCTTTTGTGAGGAATCCATGCAAGTGATGGCAAAAAATTCAACTTTTTTAAGATTTCTCCTACTCTGTATCAATTCAAAATGGTCTTGTTTGCATCAGCTGGGTTTGGACATGCTGGGAAATATTTCGTCTGAGCTAATCATAGAGGATCCATCGGTGGATCAAATTTTTAAAGCATTTTTTTGGACCGTGCACCGCGGAATACATCATTCTAATCGTTTTTTTGTTATTTCTTGCCTTGAAATTTTAAATAAAATTTGCCAAAAAGATGAAAATGAAGACGTCGTGTGTAGAAATTTAGATCAAAACGTACGTAAGGAAAACATTTCAGTCAAAAAAGGTCAAATTTTTAAAAACAGATTAATATTATTATTATTTTTTTTTTTTTTATGTAATTATAGATTTATAATCAAGTTTGCCGTCTCCTCAGTCTTCATGACATAATGATTTTATTGTACACTTTGGAATGTTTGTATTCAATGTCGTCCATGGGTGAAAAAGCATGCACATATATATGTCGATCAAAGGGAGCCGTTGAAATGCTGTTGGCTTTAATAACAGTTGAAGTAAAAAAAATTTCCTTTTTTTAATTTTTAAAATATTTGTAATTTTTTCAATGATAATAAAAATTAAATTTTTATTCATAGGCTCAAAGTTACGGACCAAAGGCGTGCATTTTAATGCGCGTTATCGAAACTGTGTCTGGAGCAGTAACTCCCAGCGTCTCAACCGTTCCTTCTTCCGCCACTGCTGGTTCTAATTCTCAAACTCAAGTATCACCTGGAGTGGGATCTGGCGTGGCACAGACTTCAGTTTCCATTGCAGCACCTCCTGCTATGACCGTTCAAACTGCTACAATACCAAAAATAATTCATACTTCAAACATAGTTCGGACCGGCTCACCTAGTAAATATCATAAAATATAGAATAAGAAAAAAAAAATTTGTTTTTTTTTAAAAAGTGCGCCATTAAACTAGTAATTACTAACGTTTCAGAAACAGTGGTTGGTATGCCCATGGCAGCTGTGGCAACTCCAGTCCAGCTGGCTCCTGCTTGTACAACTGTAATGCAAACTTTGCCGACAATTCAACAGCAACACGCTCATCAGCAAACAGTACAAGTAAATTTATTTTTTAATAATTAAAAAAAAATTAACGTCCACTACATTTATCTTACTTGAGAATTTTTTTTTTTTTTTTTTTTGTGTTTTAAACTCTAAACTAATAATAATATTTGCAGGAAAACGAACAATTTGCATTAGCCTGGCTCAGAGCTACGTTTGAATTAAGTGCCGGAGGAAAGGTAGAGCAGCAAGACTTATATAAAAGATATGTGGAGTCGTGCAATAAAATGGGTAGAAAAGGAATTATTGCGTCCTTACATTTTCCTCGTTTTGTTAGGTCAGTATGGCGTCGTGACGTAAAAATTTTACGTTTCGCGCACATCAATACATGATAAGTTAAATTTTTTTTTTTTTTTTTTTTTTCTTTTTCAGATCCGTTTTTGGTGGAACTGTTGGGCCAAAATCTCATCCCGTTCCTGCGACCGATCTCAAACCCGGGGGTCCGACCACTCTTTTTTACTACGAAGGAATAAAGGTGCGCGATGTTCCCCTGACGATAAACATCAAACTTGTCCCGGTGACCGAAGTCCCCCGACCAGTGATGAAAAAACGTCCCTCGGCGACGACTCCCAAATCTAAAGCCAAACGTAAAAAACCCGAGTCTCCGCCCTCGCCTATATTGAAGGCGCAGCTTATTTCACCGAACAAGCCTTCCCCTCCTTCGCCTTCCCCTGCTTTTCCCATGTCCGAAGGCAAAGTACAGGTAAGTTTTTTCTTTTCTTTTCTTTTTTTTTTTTTTCTTATTTTTTTTTCGTCCCCATCCCCCCCCCTCTCGTCAAAAAAAACATTTTTTTTTTTTTTTTTTAATAGTTTTAAATTAATTATTATAAAGAAAAACGTTTTAATTAGTAATTTTTTTTTAGGAATACAATAATTTACAATTTTAAGCAGTTATTTAAAACTTTGAAATACAAATAAGAAAGATTAGATCGAACATTTGATTATTTGAAATTGATTTTTACATGATAGACTTCAAATGTTCGTTTTTTTTTTAACGCGGTGGCTTTTTTTTTTTTTGCTGTTAATACTTCTTAATATTGAGAAGAGCCTTAGAGTGCATGTTGTTTGTTTTTAAATTAGATGTGTAAACTAGATTTGATTGTTGTAAATGTGCTGTAAAGGTATCAACTCAAACTCATCCTGGTTCGATTGCCGTGGGGCATAGTTCTTCACCCCCTTGCACGCCTCCTCCTCCGCCGATGGATAATTCAACGTTAATCAAGAGCCTACTGGCGTCGAAAGTAAGCGAAATCTGCATGACCGCGCCTATTGGCATGCTATCCGATAACCCGCAGGTTTGTCTTTTTTACAAGTAACTTTTAATAATAATAATAATAATAATACATTCAAGTAGTGGAAGTGACATTTCTTAAACGTTCCGATACACATTATATAAGTATAATTATCATTACGATGCGAAAAACGCAAGAAAAGCATAAATTTTTTTTTTTTGATTTTATGAATATCTATTTTGATTTACCAAAACTAAAAATCAAAGTGTGTTGTTATTTTCTCTATGCTTTTTGAAGCATGTACGATATTTAATTTTTTGTTTGAAAGAAATTGTTTTGTGCGTGCGTGTGTGCGTGCGCGTGTGTGTGTGTGAATTTTTTTTTTTTTTTTTTTTGTATTGTTTTGCATCGTTTATTTTTGCATGTTTTATTAACCTTTTTCCCGTGACATCCTGCAGAACCGAATTCCTTAACCGAGAGCTATTCAATGGGAAAATCCTGAAATGAAAAAAAAAGACCGCCTTTTCGTGATCGCTCAAGAAAGAATTGTTATGCTTGCGGAAAGAAAACGTAGGAAAGGAACGATGTCCCCTTTATATAAAAAAAAAAAAAAAGCCGTAAGATTATCACAAATTTAAAAAAATTCCTCATCGATTGATTTTTAATCAATAGTTTAGACTTAAAAATTACACGTAAGAAAAGGAAATCATTATTCCCGAACGTACAGTAATAATAATAAAAATTATATTAATATACACTAATATCGGTAATGCAGAGAATGTGTATTAATTTTTATTCAATTAAAAATAATAATAATAATAATAATAATATATCGTTTGTTAAAGTTTGTGAAGTGTGCACACATAATTAAAATTTCTGTGCTCAATAGTCTTGGCTTTTAAATTCACATAATACGTATATATATTTGTTTTGGCCGTATATTTAAATAAAAAAAATTAATAAGGAATAATTATTATATTTGTTAATGATTTTAAAATAGTGTTAATTAAATTATAATTTTCCTTTAAATAAGGGAAAATTATATTGGCGAGTTTTTTACTCACTCACTGGTCGAGGTCGATATGATATAAATTTAAAAAAAAAATAAAAAATAAAGAAAAAATAATAATTTATATATTTTGTAAAGGTCACACAAAGACAGCAGCAGCAAAAGATACTTCAACAGCAACAACAACAACAACAACAAATGCTTTCCAAGTCGGATGTTCCACTCAAATCAAAAGTTTTCAGATTAAATGGAATAATACAGGATACGTTGACGTCAGAAAATCATTTGACACCTTCGATTGTCAGACTAAACAAAGAATCACCACAACCAATTACGACAACCATTTGTAGCGTAGGAAACCCGCTTAGACCAAAGACTCCCAAGATAGATGGAGAAGATTCGGATTCTATGGCTTCAACGAGTAGAGATTGTGCTACAGCAGGTATGATTTGTTTGTTGCGCATCAGGTTAATAATCGTCAATTGTTATTTTTTTCGTTTTATTTAATTCCAGACGGTGGAAATGCGTCATCGTTTGAAGATAATGATAATTCTTTGACTAGTTTCGAGGGTATTTTTAACGGGACATCGGAGCCTTTAGATTTAGACGCACCCGTGTCGTCGATAGTCAAAGAAAATTTCTTAAAAACAAACGAGAATAAAAGTGAAATAATATCGAGAGACAAAAATTCAAAAACGAACGAAAGTGATAATAATAATACTGGAATATCTGCCTCGCTTAAATCTTCGGGAAAGGATAATGATTTATCATTATCAAAACATGCGGATGAGAAAACCATGACTTCAGAATCCTGTACGAAGCAAACGCAAAGCAAATCTTTAATGCTGGCAGATCTTTTGGATAAAAAAGAGGGTCCGGCTTTGAACGGTGTTTTGGGAAAAGATTTGCGAATCGGGGAAAAAGGACTTGAACTAGTGGAAAAAGCAATATTAAAAGAAACAAGTTTAAATCACAAAGGAGTTACTGTAAAAAAAGATAGTGTAGTGAATGTGAATGGAGATGCGAGGACAGGGGGGGATCATCGTTCAACTGTGATAAATAATGCAACGTCTTCTCAGTGCAGAAGCAAGAGGTCGGCGAGCACCGAATTAGATGCAATTGAAGAAAAGCGCTTTAAAACGGAAACCGGATCTTCAAAAATCAAAGGTATTCTTTTGACTACTCTTAAGTAAAAGTATAATTAAATAATTATAATCTTAGTTCAATTCAATTCATATATGTATATTTTTTTTTCACCAAAGCAAAAAATGTAAAAGAAACCGGCAGATTCGATGACGCCGTAGAAAAAGGCGACAAAGATGAATTGAATGGTGAGGAAGAAGTTCGGGCTTCGTCAACGGCAGCAAATTTGTTTGCTGCTTTGGCAGCTGAAGCATTAGAGGATGAAACAGATTTTGATGTATCTAATGAACCACAGCCACAGCCCCAAACTGTTGTTGTACCTCACGGTCAGGTGATTATCCTTTTTTTTTTTTTTTCTTTCTTACGATTTATTTCGGGTTACGAAAAATAATGTAAGCAAAAATTTTGAAAGTATAAATTATAAATTTGCTATTAAAAATTGACAGATTCGTTCATTGTACTTGGGCGAGTCTTCTCCTTTACTAGTTACCGCATCAGGTACGCGGCAAATAATCATGACTCCCAGTCAGTTATCGCAACAAGGTCAAGTTTTAATTTCCGCTGGAGGGCAATCTTTACCGGTTATAGTACAGAACCAAAGAATTGTTCAAGGAAGTTCAGGACAAATGCTTGTAGCATCCCAACCGCAACAATACATCATGTCAGGTGAGAGTGTAACTCATTTTCTAACGGTCGAAATTATCATTATTATAATAACATTTTATAAATGATTTTTTTTTTTTGTTTTTTTAAAGGCAATACTCAAAGTCAAATGCTTATAGCTCAGCCACAAACAGCCCTCGTTCAAGGTCAACCCCAAACAGTTTTAGTTGCACAGGCCACACCTCAACAGCCTGGCACGAAAACTATTATAATTTTACAACCACAGTCTCAGGGTAATGCAAATTCTGCGCAACAAAAAATGGTGGTAACTTCTCAAGGTATATAAAGTGTTCTGCGGTTCGAATACATTTTTTTTTTTTTTTTTTTTTAAATTTAAATCATGAAAATCTTATTTTTGTTTTTTTAGGTACACCAATGGTTGTTACTCGCCAAGTCATTCAATCACAACCGACGACCAATTTATCTTCCTCTGTTCCAACAACCTCGGTTACAACTTCGACTTCACGAGATGGTTTAACCACCGACGTCTTAAACTCAGGACTGCATAGTAATTCACCTGTACCTTCTTTACAACAAAATGGCTCTCAAATTCAAATTATAAGTTCAGGAGTTCAAAATAACGCTCCAATTTTGAATCAAAGTGTTAACGATAAGAACAAAGTTCAGAATGGTACTACGAAAATTTCAAACGGTTCAAAAGTCGCGGACGGGAGCGTGTACCTTTGCGAATGGAGAGGTTGCATGAGGTAACATACCTGACCTTGTTTTTTTTTTTTTTTTTGAAAAAAAAAAAAAGAAAAAAAAATTGAAATTTTGTGGATTTTCAGGAGTTTTAAAACTGCAAACGAAGTTTACATGCATGTTTGTAATACCCACTGTCCTAGTAATACGGAGGTAGAAACTCAATGCCTTTGGGAAAGATGCGATGGAATGAAAAGGAAAAGATTTTCTTTGATGACGCATTTGTTCGATCGTCATTGCAACGCTGATGTAAATAACTTTTTTATTTATTTATTTTTTCTTTTCTTTAAAACGTTTTATTCAACGTCGAATTTAAAATTATTTTTAGGCTTTAAACATTATGGCCGCCAGGCGAAAGCAACTTTCAACTCAGGGTAGAAGTGAAATCCCGGCACCGACGCCTCCTCCGCCACATCCTGGATACGCTCCAAACGCAGCTTTTCACGCTATCAAGAGACACGCTCTCGAATTCGTGAATCCAAAAGAGCTTTTGGTGAGTGTTTAAAAAATCTTTTGAAATTCATCAGTTAAATTTTTTTTTTTTACTAAAACCAACAAGTTAAACGTTTAAACGTACACGTTGGATTATTTTGTTAAATGCTGCTCTCAGAAAGCAAATGGTTCGAAAGGCTCACAGCCACAGCAAGCTCCTCTTCCTCCTCCCCCTCCGAGTTCTGTACTTTTGGCCAAGGTTGCTTCAACCCCCGTCCAAGTGAAGGTAATTAGGGTAGAGTGATAATGAGGATTTGAAAAGTTTTATGTATATTTATTTTTATTGCACTTTTTTATTTTTTATTTTTATCGAATTAAAATGGTTGACGTTATGGTTAGACCAACCCCCCCCCCCATTCCGTGGGGGTTGAAAAAACATTTTTTTTTGTAACACTACTTTAGTAAAAATGTCTCTTGTTGTTTTACATTAGTTCGTGACGTAATATTGATGTTGTGTGATTGATTTCACACAAAAAATTTTCATCTTTAATTATTATTATTATTATTTCAGGATGATAACGAAGGACCTGTGACAAAAAGTATTCGGTTAACTGCGTCGCTCATCCTTAGAAATTTAGTTATATATTCATCTGTAGGTAGGAGGTAAGTAAGTGAGGAGGAGGAGGAGGAGGAGGAAAACTTTTCCGGACGGTTATTTTTATTTATTTATTTAAAAATTAAATTTTTAGATTTTTAAAAGGATACGAACCCCACCTTGCTAGCATAGCACTAAGCAACGTGGAATCATCTAGAACGATAGCACAAGTATTGGCAGATTTGAACGATTCTTCCTCCCGATGACTTGATTGTATATAAATCGATTATTTATTTTTTTTTATTTTATTTTATAAAAATTGATTAAACCGTTTGTTCAGGTTAAACGAAAACATGTCGGTCGGTCGGTTGGTCGGTTGTCGTCACAACCTTCCCGTGACAAAATAAATAAATATATGTGACCGGTTTAAATAATAAATTTTTATTGACAAATGATGCAGAAAATACTTAAATAAAAAAAAATGTCCAAAAAGAGAAACTTATGATAGTATTTTTTTTTTTTTGTTATATTAAAACCAAATGTAATTTCATCATCTTTTAATATTTTATTATATAGTTAAAATGTTAAAATTATGAATGAAGAAAAACATAAAAAAAAAGAATTTTAAGCTACATATTTTCAAATAAAAGGGTCAAATTAAAAAAAAAAAATATTTTTTTATTATTATTTTTGATTATTCTAAATCAATAAATTTTTATTAAAATAAAATTAAAAATTTTGAATGATGGGGAATTTAAAAATAAAACAATTGTCAACATAAAATTATTATTATTATTATTATTATTTGTTTTTCTTGTTTATTTGAGACTTATTGACAAAAGGCAACAACAAAAATTATTATTGACATTAAATAATTTTGGATTAATTTGTTTATTACAAATATTCGGACAAAATTAATTTATAATTTTTTTTTTTTTAATGTAAATAAAAAAGTTAAATTTAGTTCGGCCATTTTGTTTTTTTTGTACTGGTTTATTGAAAGAGAGAGTAGGAGAAAAATTGCTACTAATTTACCTAAAACATTTTTTTTAAATAATTAATTTTAGTTTTTCCTTTTAATTTGAAATTATGTTTTCATATTTATTAATTTATTTAAATAAATGACTAACTGTCATCATCATTATTTGGATTTAATTCAAATTTAATAATTGTTTGATTGGGGATGGGGGATGTGGGAGGGAAGGGGGAAGGGAAAAAAAAAACAAAATTTCGCGATAATGTTCAAATCTGTTTTATTTTGACGTTGAATTAATTTAAATAATCGTAAATATTATTATTATTATTATTATAAATTGACGCATTTTAATTAAAACAAAAAAAAATTGTATTATTATTATTATTTTTTTATAAAAATAAATATAGGAATGTAAATTTAATTTTTAACCGTTTTTTATTTGTTTAAATATTTTATTTTTTAACAATATTTTTTTTTTGGTAAATATGTAGCAAAATTATTGTTTTTTATATAGGTACCAATTTGAAATAATGAAAAATATTATAAAAATAATTATTTTTTATTTTATTTTATTTAAAAAATTAAAAATTTTTGACAATCAAAAACAAACTCTTAAAAGGAATAATCTCAATAAATATAATTAAAATGTACATCACAAGCGTTAGTTATCATATGAATTTTTTAAAATGAATTATTAATTAATTAATTACAAGGTACTGTTTGTTTATCAATTATTTTATTAACTATGCTACTAAATTGTTTATAATTTTCATTTTTTAAATATGAATCAAGCAATGATTTATGTAAACCATCAGAATTACTAATGGATATATCAAGAGGTACACTTCCAAGGAAATTAATATTGCATGCATTCGCAAGTGATTCTCCACCACCTTTTGAAAAAATATTTGTCGACTCCTGAAAAAGGGAAATAATTGAACAATATTAAGAAATGAATTCTCTCGTAAATCATAAAGAAGAGAAGATAATAAGTTACCGAACAATGAGGACAAATGTAACCACTCATATTTTCGATGAGACCCAATATAGGTATTCCTGTTTTCGAACAGAATGTTATTTGCTTTTGAACATCTTCTAAGGCAACCAATTGAGGAGTTGTAACAACAACAGCACTTTTGTTTTTTAAAGACCTATAATTTTTTTCAACAATTATTGAAAATGTTTAATTCAAATTTACTTTTCGAGTTTATTTAAATGTAGCAAACGAAATATGAAGATGTTAAAATAATAATCAATATGTTGTAAATGTTTTATATTTCAGTACCTCAAACATTCCATGAGTGTTATATGTTCATCAGATGTTCCTGGAGGTGTGTCAATAACCAAATAATCAAGATCTTGCCAATAGACATCATTTAAAAATTGTCGAATCATACCTGATGACACATTGAAAAGAAATCGAGGTATTAATTTTTTTCATAATACTTTTATTTATTTATTTAAATTAAAATTTACTTGTTTTTTTGGGTCCTCTCCAAACTACACTATCATTTTTATTTTTTAATAAAAAACCAATCGACATAACTCCTAATTTTTTTTCTTCATCTAGATAAACTGGAACCCAACCTTCAGTGGATTGAAAAACATCTTTATCTTCTAATCCTAATAAAAAAGGTAAGCTGGGACCGCATAAATCAACATCTAATAAACCGACCTAAAATAAAAAAAAATTTAATGTAAGTAAAAATTATTAAATTTATTAAATAAAAAAAAAATTATCATACTTTGAAGCCTTTATCTTTAAGGGCTAATGAAATGTGTACACTGACAGTTGATTTTCCAACACCTCCCTTTCCAGATATTACCAATAAAATATTTTTAACTCCATCCAACATTTTTTTTTAAAAATAAATTACTAACGAACGTTAAAACTTTTTAACTTTTCAATTGTATACCAAAAATAAAAATTTAAAATAATTTTAAATTGTTAAAAAAGATTTTTAACCTCAAAGTTTGATTAATCACTCTAAAGTACGATAAATTAACTAATGTAAAGATTTAAATATTATTTTGTTAGATACCGCTCTGATAAGATGTTATTTAAATCGGTTAAAAATTATTTATATTTTTTTTTTATGATATTTATTATTGTAATGACTAAACTAAATTGATATTAATTTTTTTTTAACGTGACATCACGTCTTAAACGTTTTTTTTTTGCTTTTTTTTTTTTTTTTTCTATTGAAGTATCCCTCCCTGGCGATACTTGGAACTTTATATAGACTTTAAATTGAATATTTTTTTGGAATTTCATTTATTATTTTATATATGTTAAATGTGTCAAAATGTATTTGATAAAATATTTTTGACAGGTTTTTATTGAAATAATTAAGTACATTTTGGAAAAATGTACGAAACGGGTGTTTTTGGAGCTTATACTTTTTTTGCTCAAAAGCAACCTGGTGAATTATGTGGCAGTAATGGTCTTCCACTAACTCCTAATTCTGTTATTATTTATGGTAAATCTCAATCATTAATGTGTCTCAAACATGCCAATTTATGTGAATATTTGGACATCTTTAGGGGAAAACATGGTAAGTCTTTTTATTGTTTTCAATTTTTAAATTTTCAATTACTAATAGGTTTTCCTTTTTTTTTTGCATTTCAGAAAGGATAATTGTCACCTCAGAATTTTATCACTCATCTTTGAAAAATATCCAAAAGCCTATTGAACCAAATTACCTGTCTAAAATTGTGAAGGAAATATTACTCGGATTGGAATATTTAAATGCTAATGGAATAGTTCATAGATCTTTATCACCCAGTAACATACTATTCGATGCTGATGGTAATGTCAAATTATTTAACTATGGTCTCTATTTTATGAGCAATAATGGCAAAAACGTTTCGTTTCCAATCGGTTCTCCAAAATATACTGCTCCAGAAGTTTTTTTAATCAAAGATAAAACTCCATCAGGTCCCAAAGTAGATATTTGGTCTGTAGGAGTTATTTTGGCAGAACTTGTTTTAAATAAAGAAATATGGTGTGATTTAAAACTTAATCAAGTGATAAGAAAAGTTTTAAGTTTGATTAATTGCAGTGGAACAGTTTTAGAACATTTGTCAAATGAACACAGGTGCAATGACATTTATAAAAATTTACCTTCCTCGCTTAAAAATTTTATTAATTTGTGTTTGATTCCTAGTCCGCTTAATCGTTTGACTCCAAGTCAAATGATTAAACATGAATTTATAAAACAAGATAATAGTTTAATAGAAAATGCTGAATGCGGTTATCACATAGATTTTCTAAAAAGAACAACAAGAAAAAATATAAACTTTGAAATTTCAAAAAGTAAAATTAATGAGATTAATTCAATAAACAAAATTTGTTCAAATAAACCCGTGGGAATTCACAACAAAAATCCGAATGTTGAATTATCTAAAAGAAGTCTCAAAGAAATTTATCATTTATGGCAATTAGCTGGAGGAGACATTTATTGTGAATTGAAAAAACAAGGGATGATTAAAACCAGACCTCCAACATTATCCCTTCCAAAGTATGTAATTTTTATTTTATTTTTAACCCATACTTAATATTATAATCGTAAATAAATTTTTTTATTTTATATTTTAAATTACAGTTTAGTTTTACTAGAAGGTACAGTTTTTGGAGAAATTAAAGATTCATTCTCTGTACTAGATCTTCGAGTTACAGTTTTACCATTAAATAGCCTGCACCAAAGATTGTCACATTTGACATTTGAAGATTTTTATCCATTAATCGAAATCAAATCACCCAAGTTGAAAAATAAAGAATCTTTAACTCAAGAAAAATTTTTACCATTAATCATTAGAGAAAGAGATACAGAATATCAATTTTCTAGAATCATTTTGTATCATCGTCTACTTCTTGTAAACTAATTGCTTTAAAAAAGTAAATATTCAATTTTATGTTTCTGAGATCAAAACAATTGTTTTTATCTATTTTTACAGGGTTATCCATTCAAAAAGGAAGCGATAATAAATGAAGCTGGAATTGATATTCCTCCTTACTGTAGGGGAAATGTTTGGGCTGCATTGCTGGGTATAGTCGGTGACATTCAAAGAAGCTATGAGATAATTGACAAAGAAACACCCAATTCAACTGATAGACAAGTAATTTAATAATTATATATATTTAATAAAATAATTTTGTTATTTAGTGAAACATATCATCGGTTGTTTATCAGTATCAAATTTAAATTTTCTCATTGAATTTTAGATTGAAGTTGATATTCCAAGATGTCATCAATATAATGAATTATTATCATCCTCTGAAGGTCACAAAAAATTAAAAAGAATATTAAAAGCATGGGTTACATCTCATCCTCAATATGTTTACTGGCAAGGACTCGATTCTCTTTGTGCTCCTTTTTTATATCTCAACTTTAATAACGAAGGTAGAAAAGTGTGAGTGACGGGTACCATTTTTTTTCCCCCCTTCAACTTGGCAATACAAAAAGTTTTTTCTGATTTATTTTTTCGAATTTTTTACATTTTAGCTCAGGCGTATGCATGTTTATCTGCATTCATACCAAAGTACCTAAATAATTTTTTCTTGAAAGATAATTCTGCAGTCATACATGAATATTTGGCCAAATTTCGACATCTGATTGCATTTTACGATCCGGTTTTATTTAATCATTTAGAATCTATTAATTTCATACCGGAATTGTATGCCATTCCATGGTTTCTCACGGTGTTCTCGCGTAAGTTAATTCTCACATTTTGTTTTTTTCTTTAATATTTATAGTAAAAAGTTAGCGTCAAAAGAATTTGACAATTTTACGACAATATAAAAAATAATTTTTTTTTTTTTTTTTTTGTCAATTTAGACGTGTTTCCTTTACATAAAATATTTCATTTGTGGGATCGTTTACTTTTGGGTGACGCGTCTTTTCCGTTATTCATCGGATTGGCGGTTTTAAATCATCTCAGAGATATTCTCCTTTGCTCTGGATTTAATGAATGCATATTACTTTTTTCCGATTTACCAGGTATGAAATTAAATCAATTTTTTATATTTTTCTAAAAAAAATTTAGATTAATTTTCTTTTTTTTAACCTGATTTCAGAGGTGGACATTGAAATGTGTGTCAAGTATTCAACAGAAAAGTACAATAGCACTCCTCGAAGCATCACGTACAGGTGTCACGAATATCGAGAAAATACACCAAATTCCAGTCTCGATTTAGAAATGTCTCCTTTATCAGTATCCGAATTGCAGAGCGAATGTTGCCCACAAATAAGTGCTTCCGATCTTTTGTCTCTCATCAATAAAAACAATAACTCAAATGTTAAAAATTACGTGACGATTGATATAAGAAATTTAAACGAAACAAATTGCCTTACTTTACCGGATAGTATTCACATACCCTTCAATACGGTATCATTTTCAGAAAAAGAGGTTAGTACAAATATGACAACGAGAGACTAATTTCATACGTTTCGAAAACTAAACCATTATTTATTTAAAATTATTTTTACAGGTTCCGAAAACCAAGGAGGGAAACCTACTCCTTAAAAGTAAAGGTAAAATTATTATTATTATGGGATCGGGCGGTGAAAATTTGTCGGAATTTTGCAGATGGTTAGTAGAATGCGGTTTTAGTAAAGTTTGCAGTTTACACAAAGGAATTCAATCACTTTCGAATACAGGAATTTTAAAATCTTCAAAAAAATAGCACCAAGAGTAAATCATAAAAATATTTTCATATTAAAAAAAAAAAGATCAAATATAATATAGGAATTGTAAATAAATATTCGAAACGTATATTAATTGACAATTATAAACAATTCCTACATTATTTCTAAAAGGGCCTTTGGGAATTCATCGAGTTATCTTTATTTAGAAAAAAAGTATCATTAAATTTTTTTTTTGTAACGGTATTATCAATACTGTTCTTTTCGTGTTTAAGGTTAGATTAATTATTGGCAGGTAGGAGAAGGAAAGCAGAAAAAAAAAAATTAAATCTCACTTAATTAAAAAATATTTTAATCAAATACTCATGCCACGGCAGCAATCATATCCATTTTAACACCTTTTAGATCACTAGAAGGTACAGTGGGAATAATTTCTTCTTTAGGTCCGGGAACTTCAACGCAATCCGGTAATGGTTTTTTAGGTCCAACTTTTCCATTTGGATCACAACGAAGCATGATTTTAACTTTGATTCCCAAAACTCCTACAAAATAAAAATGCAAGGTAATTGAAGATATAAATAACGATAATTTTTAAAAAAAAACAATAATAATTTATTAATCAACTTACCCTGTCTCAATAGTACGTGCCTCGTAGCACAATCAACATAATCATTAGTGGGTTCACCACTGTGTATCATTAAACCATCGACAAATTTCATGGATTTAGCTCTTTGACCTCTTAATTTACCAGAAACTACTACTTCGCAACCCTTAGCTCCTGATTCCATTATAAATCTTAAAACACCGTAGCATGCTCTGAAAAATTTTATAGATTAATGTAAGTCATTTTATTTTAATAAAAATGTAAACGTAAACGTAAATATTACAAATCGCATTGACACTACCTTCGAACGGCTAATCCACCAATTAATTTATATCTCAATGATTCAGCCTGTGCAATAGCACATAGACCTCTTGCTGCAACTTTTTCAGCATAGAGTTCTACGGTTCCTTCAGGGAAATTGAATCGCTTTTGAACGACAGAAGTCAACTCCCTAATTCTTTTACCCTTATCTCCCAAAACGCTTTGGGTTCTAGTGGCCATAATAATAATTTCTGTTCGTGTTGGAGTAACACGGACTTCCACCCCAGAGTAACCATCTTCAGCCAATTCTCGCGTTAAAAATTCATTCAATTCAGCTTTAAAAACTCCGTCGCCTACAAACTAAAAAACATACGAATGTAAAAAACGTGAATATGAACACTGACAGAAAATTTTAATCCAACTGATCTGAAAGAACTGAGCACATAATAGAAACAAAAGAATAAGAAACAAAATATTTAAAAACTTTACTTGTATTTATAATTCAGTATTATTTTTATAAAAACGTTTTTATATCAATAATAAACACAAACTTACTTTTCTTTTCTTGGATATTGGAGTTGCCATCTTTTCAATTCCCTGTTAAGTAGAAATTTTATTTTGCCAACACTGCATTCAGTGGTGCCAACATTATTAAGAATGTACTAACAAGCAAATACTTTATGATTAGTCTTACCTAATAATGTCTTCACTTTAACAAAATGCATTTAAAAATATTAAATTCCGTTAGAATTTTTTATTGATAGCCGTAAAAATAGTAATTTTTAAAAAGTAAAATATTGTAGAAATGAATTTAATTCTGAAGCGATAATTTTTATTACATGTTTTCATACTAAATCTGTGATAGTTTATGGATATTGTAACTTATTTTTTTAAACAGTAGTTTATTACATATGTCGAAAAATATTGGTCGATAAAAATTATTACATTATTAAAATATGTTTTATATAATTTTTATATTAAAATTAGTCAAGATTACAGTCTAAGTCAAATTGCTGTGGCAAAAAAAATTTTTTATAATTTTGTTAAACATTATGTGAATAATATAAATAAAATGGAAATAATTAAAACTCCTAAGGTAAAACATAACATTATTTGTATTATTTAGACTTTTTTATATTTATGTATTTTAACTCACAAAACAAAAATATCAGAATAAATTATTTTTTTAATGTTATTCAAATTATAATAAAATTAATTTTATAATTAATCTTATAAAATTGAATTATGAAAATATTAATTTAGAAAAAAAGTGTTTTTAAATATTTTATTTATATATTTCTTTAATTTATTATTTTATTTTGTTTATTTGCAGGTAGAAAATGTGAAAATGCTCAACAAATACAACAATAACTATTCCTCTGGAACATTATATTTAACTGCTACTCACTTGATATTTGTAGGACCAGATTGCAAAAAAGAAACTTGGGTAAGTTTTTTTAAAAGTTTTTTTTTTTTTTTTGTGTCGATAGCGATAAATTTCAAATACTTATTAAGCATTTACATCTAATTGAAATTAATATAAATATTTTATAATTAATCAAAATCATATTTTATTAAATCGAACCATTATTACGATTTTTTTTTTTTTTTTTTCATTTTTGTATTTACAATTATCGTAATATTAGTTTTATGTTTACTTACAAATATTTATGGTTCATTACTTTTAATTTTTATATAATTTTGTATTTTTTAAATGTAATTTTATTTCGGGAAATTATTGTTTACAAAATATTATTTTGGTTTCGTATTTACTCCAAGAATTTAAACATTTATCATTCATTATTTTGAAAAAATTGTATGTAAATCTTTTCAGATTTTACATAATCATATATACAATGTTGAAAAGCTGCAGTTGACAACATCTGGATCGCCTTTACTGATCAGATGTAAAACATTTCTTTCAGTTACTTTTGTAATTCCAAAAGAAAGAGATTGTTATGATGTATATATCGCACTATCTCAATTATCAAAACCAGGTAAATAAAAAATACCTTTCTTATAAATTTTTTTGTAAGATGAATTTTAGAAGATGAAAATTGACTTTTTTTTTTTTTCATTTAATTTGTAGCAAGTGTTAACGAACTTTACTGTTTTCATTATGCTTCAAGTACTGAAGACATTCCAAAATCTGCTGGTTGGAATTTTTTTGATTTAGTATCAGAATACCAAAGAATGAGGGTTCCAAATGATGTTTGGATTGCAACAGATTTAAATATAAATTTTGAAGTAGAAATCTTTTATCACATATTAATTAGTTTTTTTTGTTTATTTACAAATTTAAAAATGTTTCGTTTTTATAATTTTTTTTAGCTTTGTGAAACTTATCCGAGATACCTTTGCGTTCCAGCAAGTGCCTCTCCCGGAATTTTAAAGGGCTCCTCAAATTTTCGCAGTAAAGGTCGATTACCAGTTTTATCGTATTTGCACAAGAACAAAGCCGTTATTTGTAGATGCAGTCAACCTTTATCAGGTTTTAGTGGTCGTTGCCCAAAAGATGAATCCATGCTTAATTCAATTCTAAAAACGAACCCAAATGCATCTTATATGTATGTCGTAGATACACGACCAAGGGTAACTTTTTTATTTAAAAAAAAAAAAAATAACTTTTTCTTTTTCTGTTGCACTAATAAATATTAACTTACTTTTTAGATAAACGCAATGGCTAATAGGGCAACCGGAAAGGGATATGAAAACGAAACATTTTACGAAAATATTAAATTTCACTTTTTAGGCATTGAAAACATTCACGTAATGAGATCGAGTTTATCGAAATTAATCGAAAGTAAGGATTCAGTTTTTAGGATTAATTTAATAATTTTTATTAATTTAGATGTGATCAATTCAACATGTCAAAGTTGTTGTAACTTCTTGAAATTACATTTAAACAAGTTTTTTTTTTTTTGTTTTTAGCTTGCGAATTAAAATGTTCCACCATGAGTAATTTTATAAAAGGTCTCGAATCAAGTGGTTGGCTTAAGCATATACAAGCCATTTTAGACACCTCCTTGTTCATAGCTCAAGCAGTAGAAAATGGAGTCAGCGTGGTTGTACATTGCTCCGATGGATGGGATAGAACAGCCCAAGTTTGCTCCGTAGCTTCTCTATTGTTAGATCCATATTACAGAACAATAAATGGCTATCAGGTTGCTTGATTATTATCGAGCTTTTTTTCTTGTTCAAAATGTTCGATGAAAATAAACAAATTTTTTATTATAAATTTTCCAGGCCCTAATAGAAAAAGACTGGCTAGCGTTCGGACACAAATTTTCCGACAGGTTCGGTCATTTAAATGGAGATTCCAAAGAAGTTTCTCCCATACTGACGCAATTCATTGATGCCACTTGGCAAATTTGGAACGCATTTCCTCATTCCTTTCAATTCAATGAAAAATTTTTACTAACCATACACGATCATGCTACTTCGTGTCAATTCGGAACATTTTTAGGAAATTGTGAAAAAGAAAGAGCAGATCTTAGGTAAGTTAATTTTTTTTTTTTTTAAATAAAAAAATGTCTCAATTACATACAATCTTGGAATTAAGTTTTTTTTCTTTTTTGAAAAGGGTAAAAGAAAAAACATTTTCTTTGTGGGGTTACATGGCCAATCACGTTCACGAGTACGTTAATCCATTATATTGTGCTGATGACAATTCTGAATTTCTCGTACCTAACACTGCTTCGCAAAATATCAAATTTTGGAGAGAAATGTATTGTCGATTCGAAAGTGGCGTCCATCCCAGAGAACCCATCAAGGAAATCCTTCACGCCTCTGCTGATCACTCGACTGCTTTGAAAGACCACATAAACTTGTTGCAATGCCGAATCGCGCAATTAGAAAAATTACTGGGTGCGAAATTAAAAATTTTTTTTTTTTTTTTCCGAGATATTAATTATTCTGCTTTCTGAAATTCTTACTTGTTTCCGTTTTATACTTTTGCAGGACATTCAAAAAGTAATCACGAGTTTAATACTTTAAATAAAACATCGTCAACGATGAAAAATTTAGAAAACGATATTAAAAATTCGTTAAAATTAAACGAACCGCCATCTTCACCACCACTTGAAAAAACCGCGGAATCGAAATCGGATATCGATTTGAAATCATTTAAAAATAACAACATTGACGTAATAACTCCAATATCGTCGGAAATATTGAAAAATGAAATGGAGTCAGTGGCACTAGAATGGAAAACGTTTAGAAATATCGTCGAGTGCAGTTGCATGACTCCGTTCGATCATTCTTCAAGAAAAGTAAGATTATTATTATTTTTATTTGTTTAAAATCCTCCCAAATGTTTTTCTTATTTCACTTGAGCAAAAATAAATGAGATAATTTGTTCTTTTTCGGATTATTTATCATCGTGATCGTGTTTTTGTTACATCGTTGGATTAACGATTCGGAATTTTTCAAAAAAAAATAATGATTGATAGAAAATGAAAGAGTTTTCCTCGTGATAATTAGTTTTTTTGTCGTTTATTCTCAATAAAAATCTGTTGTAATGGTCGTTTGTAAGAAATTTAACACTTTGTTTTGTTTTGAATTGGATGTTTTAGAGTCACTGTTGGAAATGTGGGGGCCTTTTTTGCACGAGATGTATCGATAAAATGATTACTCTTCCAGGTTTGTCATTGAAAAGACCTGTACCAGTTTGCAGGCAATGTTTTAATATCGTTAAAGAATATTCAAATTGATATTTAATCACAATAATTATTTTCATAGCGATACCTTAATATGAAATATATAAATATGTAAAAAAAAAAAAAAAAAAATATATATACATAAAAAATAAGAAAAAACACATTTAACAAGTTGAACTTCATTAAAAATATTTCTTTTACCCTTTTTCTAAGAGTCATTTTGAGTAATTTTCAGGTTTTTTTTTTTTTTTATAATTAATAAAAACCGTCCCACGTGCACAAATTAAAAAAATAAAATTGAATATATTCATAAATATATATATATATATATATATATATTATGACTTTTATTACAAATTAAAAAGAAAAACTAACAAAAATGGCAAAAAAAAAAACAACAAATAATAATAATAATAATAATAATAATTTTTTTCATTTTTTTTATATTAATTTTTGCCTTCTTTACAATAATAATAATATTAAGTTTAAAGAGAAACAAATAATAATTTGTTAATTCTTTAAACAATAAGGACACTAAGTGCAAAAAAAAAAAATAAGAAAAAAATAAAATAAAATTCATTAAATAATATCTATTTACAAATATATATATAAATACAATTTTTTAAAATAATTATTTTTTTTGCTTTTTTCCAATTTTTTTTATATATATATAAATTTTTTTTTTTTTTTTTTTGCATTGATAACATAATAAATATTTATAATAATAATAATAAAAATCTAATTTTTATATCTTATTACTACATTTTCAGCAAAATATAATTTAAAAAAAGGAAAAAAGAGAGGAAAAAAAATTACAAATTTAAATAAAATATAACAATTCGTTTAAACAATAATCATTGAAAATAATAATAATAATAATTTTAACCGTGAGGATATTTCAATGTCAAAAAACAAATCGCAGGCAAAATATTTTATTTTTTTTAATTAATTCATGTTGTTATTGAACCTGATTTGATTTTAATTGCCCCAAATTTTTGTGCGCTCTTTATCTTATTCCCTTCCCCTCCGCCCCCACCTACCACCCCCATTTAAATGACTTGATAAACAAAGTGGTAAATTAATATTATTTTAAATTTCTTTCCATTTATTTATTTTATTTAAATTTTTATTACATTAACACATTCTAAAATTCTATTCAAAATTTATTTATTTATTTATTACAGGTTTAATAAGCTTTATATAAATAATAATTATTGTTGAATATGAGAGAGAGAGAGAGAGAGAGAGAGAGAAAATAAATAAATAAAATTACTGTCTTTGTTTTTCTTTAATATTATTATTATTATTATTATTATTTTGCCTTTTGATATTTAATTAGCCCACAATTATTTATAGAGTGTTATTCTCATTCATTTAATTTTTTTTTTTTTTTTGGTTTGCTTTTTACATTGATTGCTCATAATAATAATAATAATAATAATAATATTAATGATGATATACTACTATGAAATGACAATTTAAAAATTTAGGCAATTTATAATAACTAATTCTAAATTATTATGCAATATTATTTTAGAATATTTATGTATACATGTACATAATATATATATATACATAGATATTAACAAAATTCCGCCACTTTTATTTTTTTTATATATATAAATATTTTAATAAAAAAGTAAAAGTCGTTCTTGTGCAGTACCTGATAGAAATCTCCAACCTCTTTTTATATTTAAATACTGTATAATAGCTCTTACAAATA